AAAAAAAAAAAAGAACTCTTGGGTGAGCAGGTGCATTGTCAGTGAGTGGTCATATTTTGAAAGGAATCTTTTTTTTTTTCTGAGCAATAGGTCTCAACAGTGTGCTTAAAATATTCAGTAAACCAAGTTATAAACAGATGTGCTGTCATCCAGGCTTGTTGTTCCATTTATAGAGCACAGGCAAAGTAGATTTAGCATAATTCTGAAGGGCTATAGGATATTCAGAATAGTAAATGAGCACTGGCTTCAGTTTAAAGTCACTGGCTACGTGAGCCCCTAACAAGCAAGTCAGCCTGTCCTGTGGAACTTTGAAGCCAGGCACTGACTTCTCTTTAGATGTGAGAGTCCTAGATGCCATCTTCCAGTATGAGGCTGTTTTATCTACATTGACAATCTGTTGTTTAGTGTAGCCACCTTCATGAATGATCTTAGCTAGACCCTCTGGATCACTTGCCGTAGTTTCTGCATCAGCACTTGCTGCTTCAGCTTGCATTTTTATGTTACGGAGACAGCTTCTCTCCTTAAACCTCATGACCCAACCTCTGCTGCTTCAAACTTTTCTTCTTCAGCTTCCTCATTTCTCTCAGCCTTCATAAAATTGAAGAGAGTTAGGCCCTTGCTTTGGATTAGGCCTTGGCTTAAGGGAATGTTGTGGCTGGTTTGATCTGTCTGGACTACTAAAACTTTCTCCATATCTGTAATAAGACTGTTTTGCTTTCTTACCATTTGTGTGTTCACTGGAGTAGCACTTTTAATTTCATTCAAGAACTTTTTCTTTGTATTTACAACTTGGCTAACTGGCGCAGGAGGCCTAGCTTTCAGCCTCTCTTGGTTTTGGACATGGCTTCCTCACCAAGCTTTTTAAAGTGTGAGACATGTACCTCTTCCTTTCACTTGAACACTTAGAGGTTATTGTATGGTTATTAATGAGCATAATTTGAATATCATTGTGTCTCAGGGCTAGGGACACCCAGAGAAAGGGAGAAAGAAGGGGAAACAGTCAATAGAGCAGTCATAACACAACATTTATTATTAATGTCTCATGTGGACACAGCTTGTGTTGCTGCAAAACAATTAACATCGAGGATCACTGATCACAGATCACTATAACAAATGTAATAATAATGAGAAGGTTTAAAATATTGTTGAGAATTACCAAAATGTGTCACAGAGACATAAAGTGAGCAAATGCTGTTGAAAAAAATGGCACTGGTGAATTTGCTCAACCCAGGGTGGCCCCAGACCTTCAATTTGTAAAAAACTCACTATCTACAAAGTACAGTAAAGCAAGGTGCAATAAAACAAGGTATGCCTGTAGTCACATATTTGTTTTTGCTTTTGTTGCCTTTGCTTTTGGTGTTAAATCCAGAAAACCATTGGTAAGACTAATGTCAGGGAACTTACCACCTATGTTTTCTTCCAGAAGTTTTATGGTTTCAGGTCTTACATTCAAGTCTTTTGAGCTATTTTTTGTTAGTTTTTGTGTATGGTGTAAGATAGAGGTCCAGTCTCATTCTTTTGCAAGTGGCTGTCCAGTTTTCCGAACACTATTTATTGAAGAAACTGTCCTTTTCCCCATTGTATATCTTGACTTCTTTGTCATAAATTAATTGACCATAGGTTTATTTTGGGGCTCTCTTCTGTTCCATTAATCTATGTACCTTTATGCCAGTTACATACAATTTTGATTACTTTAGCTGGGTAAATTAATTTGAAATCAGGGATGTCTCCAGCATTGTTCTTGCTCAATATTGCTTTGGCTATTTGGGGTCTCTCGTGGTTACAAATTTAAGGATTGTTTGTTCTATTCCTGTGAAAAATGCCATTGGAGTTTTGATAGGGACGGCCACAATAACTGATTTTTAAAGTTTTTACTGTGTGTCATGTATTGTTCTCACAGGATTGCTTGGTATCTTGATACCGACCGTTGTCCTTATTTTGTAGATGAGGAAACGGGGGTTTAGAAAATAAAACTTGCCTAAATTCAGACATAGTAGGATTTGAGCCTAAACTTGCCTAATTCCAGAATCCATGCTCTTAACCTCACTGATCTATAGCTCCCTCCAAAAGGGGACGATGCACCTGTTGTAACCTGATCGCCTACTACCACAACCAAACACATCTGAAAACCTACCATTCATTCTCTCGAACAGTGCTGTCCAATAGGAATATAATGTGAGTCACAGGTGAAATTTTAAATTTTCTAAAAGCAATGTATTGAAAAGGTAAAACACACAGGTAAAAATAATTTTTAAAACTGTATTCATTTAGGGCGCCTGGGTGGCTCAGTTGGTTAAGCGACTGCCTTCGGCTCGGGTCATGATCCTGGAGTCCCGGGATCGAGTCCCACATCGGGCTCCCCGCTCAGCAGGGAGTCTGCTTCTCCCTCTGACCCTCTTCCCTCTCGTGCTCTCTGTCTCTCATTCTCTCTCTCTCAAATAAATAAATAAAATCTTTAAAAAAAAAAAAAACTATTCATTTAACCTAATGTGTGTAAAGTATCATTTTATTACGTAATCAATGTAAACATTACTACAATATTTTGCATTATTTTGTTTTCATACTAAGTTTGCAGTTTGGTGTGTATTTTACATTTATAGCACATGTCAATCCTCACTAGGCACATTTCAGGTAGCATGTAGCCACTTGGAGGTAATGGCTGCCATGTTGGATAGCACAGCCCTAGAATGTGAAGTGTGACAATTATGATGTACTCCTGGTCTTACATTCTTCTTCCTCATTTGACAGTAGAATCCTTTGCAAGTGTAAATTAGATCTAATTTTTTTTTAAGTTTTTTAAAAATTTTTGTTCATTTGACAGAGACAGAGACAGCCAAAGAGGGTACACAAGCAGGGGGAGTGGGAGAGGGAGAAGCAGGCCTCCCACTGAGCAGGGAGCCCGATACAGGGCTCAATCCCAGGACCCTGGGATCATGACCTGAGCCGAAGGCAGATGCTTAATGACTGAGCCACCCAGGCGCCCCAGATCTGTTTTTTTTTTTTTTTAATTTTTGTAGTAAGATATACTTAACATAAAATTTACCATTTTAACCATCTTTAAGTACACACAGTTCAATGCCATTTAATACATTCACATTGTTATACAAGTGTCACCACCATCCAGTCCCATAATTCTTTTCATCTTGTAAAAGTGAAACTCTGTAAACCCATTAAATAACTCCCAGTTTTCCTCTCCCCCACCCCCTGGCAACCTCTGTTACACTGTCTGTATTTATGACTTTGACTACTCAAGTACCTCATATCAATAGAATCATACAGCATTTGTCCTTTTGTGACTAATGTATTTTGTTTAGCATAATGTCCTCAAGGTTCACCTATTTTAGCCATGGTAGCATATTGCAGAATTGTCCTTCCTTTTGAAGGCTGAATGATATTCAGTTGTATGTATAATACCACATTTTATCTGCTCATCTGTGGTTGGACACTTGGGTTGCTTCCATCTTTTGGCTATTGTGAATAATGCTTGTGCTTGCTCTCTCTGTCAAATAAATCAATAAAATCTTTAAAGATTTTTATTTATTTATTTAACAGAGATAGAGAGCACAAGTAGGTAGAGCAGCAGACAGAGGGAGAGGGAGAAGCAGGCTCTCTGCCGAGCAGGGAGCCCGATGCGGGGCTCGATCCCAGGACCCCGGGATCATGATGAGCCGAAGGCAGCCGCTTAATCGACTGAGCCACCCAGGCGCCCCAAATCAATAAAATCTTTAAAAAAAAAAAAAGATTATCTTGGCTATTTGCGGTCCCTTGAGATTCCATATGAATTTTGGGGTAAGTTTCTGTTGCTGCAAAAAAAATCACTGAGATTTTTTATATGGATTGCATTGAAGGATCTAAATTTTAATGTGGGAGTAAGTGTTGCTTATAAGTCTCTCAATATGCATTTCAAGTTTACTGCTCACATTGCTTATTGGAAGCTGTTTACTTTTTTTTTTTTAAGATTTTATTTATTTATTTGACAGAGAGAGACATAAGCGAGAGGGGGAACACAAGCAGGGGGAGTGGGAGAGGGAGAAGCAGGCAGGGCTTGATCCCAGGACCCCGGGACCATGACCCCAGCCAAAGGCAGATGCCTAACAACTGAGCCACCCAGGCACCCCGGAAGCCATTTACTTCTAACAGTTACATTTTTAGGACTAAACCTGTTAAAGCCAGACTTTCTTAGACTTAATTATCTCTTATCTGGTAGTGTATATCAGAGCAACTCCTGAAATCTCACCTATTAATTTGTCTTTGGGGTTAGATAGTACTGGTTTTCAGTTAGCTACTACATTCATTGGTCTAAGAGGAAGGTGTTGCCGTCTTGGAAGAGAAGATGGCTGGAAGATGCTATGCAGTGATTGGAGAAAATGAGAGCACTGGAACTAGTAACTATGAGCAGCCATGTCCTGCAGGCCAACCTGTTTCTCTTCCTTAGAAGAACCAATCTTAGCAGTTATCAGCACTTTTATTTATTTATTTATTTTTTTTTAAAGATTTTACTTACTTATTTGACAGAGAGAGAGCACAAGTAGGCAGAGTGGCAGGCAGAGGGAGAGGGAGAAGCAGGCTCTCCGCTGAGCAGGGAGCCAGACGTGGGACTCAGTCCTAAGACCCCAGGATCATGACCTGAGCCGAAGGCAGCCACTTAACTGACTGAGCCACCCAGGTGCCCTGATGATTTATTTTTTTTAAGATTACATTTATTTGAGAGAGAGGATGAGAGAGAGCATGAGAGGGGGGAGGGTCAGAGGGAGAAGCAGACTCCCTGCTGAGCAGGTAGCCTGATGTGGGACTCGATCCCGGGACTCCAGGATCATGACCTGAGCCAAAGGCAGTTGCTTAACCAACTGAGCCACCTAGGCGCCCCGCCCCGAGCACTTTTAAAAACAATAAATCAATCTCCTTTCTGAAATTTTTCTTGTTGGCATCAGGGTTAAAGCTCAGTATATTCCTATGGCTTTCCTGGATGCTTTTACTCACAGTAAAATTTTCTCTTTCAGAATTTGGTGTTCACCTGGCAGAGCTGACCGTAGATCCCCAGGGAGCACTGGCAATCCGTCAGGTAATTCCAGACTGACTGGCCCAATTTATAAGTAATTCCCCTTTTACTTGGTAATGAAACTTTCTTATTGGAAAAAGAAAGAATTAATGCCAGTTTACAAATAACCTAGGATTTTGTACTAGATTTAGATATACTTCAAATGAATGTATCAGGCTATGTATATGTGTATGATTTTTACATATGAAAAAGGTCTTGCTGTACTACTTGGCTTGTTCTTTTTGCAGCTGGCATCAGTCATCTTGAAGCAGTATGTGGAGACTCACTGGTGTGCCCAATCAGAGAAGTTTAGGCCTCCTGAAACTACAGAAAGGGTAAGGAGAATTATTTGATTAGTCTTCCTGTAGAGATTTGAGGAGCCTTCTTAAGATACTGAGCTGTCACTATTGTTTGACAACATGGGGCAATCAGAAGACTAGGCAGAAAAGATCGATTGGTAGCTGACATTATGGGCGACATTATGGGCAACATGCTGTAAGTAAGAGAGCTCCCGTATCAGGCTGACCTGTGTTCAAATTCCAGTTCTGCCTTTTACTAGCTATGAAAATACTAGAAAAGTATTTTAACTTCTTAGATTCAGTTTCCTAAATATCTAAAATTAGAATTAAAATTTCAACTCCAAAGAATTGTTTGAGTATTAAATGAGATAATGTTTCTACTTAGTACAGCACTATGCAGCCGTTCTGGGCCCCCAAGAAATTTTGAGTACAAGGTCTAGGGCAACGCTGTCCATTGGAACTTTCTGCAGTTATGGAAATATTCTGTATCCGTGCTGTCTGGTGCAGTAGCTACTGGCTGTATATGGTGTTGAGCACTTAAAATGTGGCTGATGAACCTGAGAAACTGAATTTTTTATTTCATCTAATTTTAATTAATTTAAATTTAAAGGACCACAGGTAGCTGCTGTAATGGACAGATAAGTTTAGGGATCAAAGATGAACTCTCTGAATGAATGATTTGTCAAGTTTGTATATTGGAGTTTTTGATATGCAGTATCTTACACACATTGTTTTTCCAACACATAAATTGGATAGAACTCTGCCAATCACTTACAACCTGGTCTAATGGCAAGTGGGCTTTTCTCCTCTGCAGGCAAAAATTGTTATCCGGGAGCTATTGCCCAATGGGTTGAGAGAATCAATAAGTAAGGTGCGCTCCAGTGTGGCCTATGCAGTGTCAGCCATTGCTCACTGGGACTGGCCTGAAGCCTGGCCCCAACTCTTCAACCTGCTCATGGAGATGTTGGTGAGCGGAGATTTAAATGCAGTCCATGGAGCCATGCGAGTGCTGACAGGTATCAGAAGTTTTTCCCTGGTGTTGGTACTTGGATCCCAAGAACACTTATGAGATGTGATGGAATGGCTCTGACCGATAGGAATTGATATTTGTAGCTCTTCCTGATGCTCCTCCTCCCTAGTTTTTAATCTCCATGTCTATCCTCCTGCTCCATTGACTCTCTCCAGGGAATTAAGTTGGTATAGTATTTCTACTACTATGAAACCTTAACCATTTAAGGATAGAGTAATTGCATAGTAGTTAAGGAGTCAGATTTCACTTCATATTCTGGTTTTACCTTGACCCAAGTTACTTAGTCTCTTGAGCTTGAGTTTCCTTGTATATAAAATGAAGATAATGGTAGTGTTTTCCTGAAGTGGTCTTTTGGTAATTTTAAAAAAGCTAAATCTACATAAATTGTTTAGCATAACTGACATGAGGTAAGCACTCTAAATTTTAGCCATTATGGTAATTATCAATATTATATTAATTTTCTACTTAGTTCAACCACGGTAAATTTAAGAACAGTCAAAATTTTTATAGGAATATAAGAAAGAAGATAAAAGCAGTGTAGCTATAATTCTTACCTTCGTTTGGTCAGCTTAGAGAATGTAGCATTTGGTATCTTTTTTTTTTTTTAAGATTTTATTTATTTATTCGACAGAGAGAGACAGGGCGAGAGCAGGAACACAAGCAGGGGGAGTGGGAGAGGGAGAAGCAGGCTTCCTGCAGAGCAGGGAGCCCGATGCGGGGCTCTATCCCAGGACCCTGGGATCATGACCTGAGCCGAAGGCAGACGCTTAACGACTGAGCCAACCAAGCACCCTGTAGCATTTGGTGCCTTTTCTTTCTTTCTGTTCTGAGAAGGTAATAAAAATATTTACAGAAAAGTACTTTTAGTCGGGTGCCTCGGTGGTTCAGTCATTAAGCGTCTGCCTTCGGCTCAGGTCATGATCCCAGGGTCCTGGGATAAAGCCCCGCATCGGGCTCCCTGCTCTGCAGGAAGCCTGCTTCTCCCTCTCCCACTCCCCCTGCTTGTGTTCCCTCTCTCGCCGTCTCTGTCTCTGTCAAATAAATAAAAATAAAATATTAAAAAAAATACTTTGTCTAAGGAGATTTGGTGGATATCTCATCTAAGCTTGATTAATCTATTAATCTCTCACAGAACATAGAATCCAGAACCTGAATTTCCCAGTCTTTCGAGTTCTGCCCTGCTTCCCAGTCCCCTAGATGAAGTCACTACTGTTTTGCCTCAAGGAATCCTTATCTGGATATTAGCCACCTTCTGTTGATCTTTTAGAAATTGTATTTCCCCTCAGTTCATACAGACTTGTGAAATGTCTGTCTATATCTTATCTCTTTCTCTGTGCCCTGCTAGCTTACCTGAAATGTAGTCCTACCTAGTTATGAATGCGATTTCTTTTTTTTTAAGATTTTATTTATTTATTTGACAGAGACACAGCGAGAGAGGGAACACAAGCCGGGGGAGTGGGAGAGGGAGAAGCAGGCTTCCCGCTGAGCAGGGAGCCCGATGTGGGGCTCAATCCCAGGACCCTGGGAACCTGAGCCAAAGGCAGACACTTAACGACTGAGCCACCCAAGTGACCCTCTTTTTTTTTTTTTAAACTCTCAGTTTATTGAACTTGGCATCTGGTCCCAGTTTTACTTGTCCGTGTTCTGTTGATGGTAGATAACGTCAATTCTCTGTCCAAAAGCAAATTCATCATCTCCTTTTGTTTCCAACCTCCTCTTCCCATGTCCTGGCTGCCTTTTTGAACTACCCGCTTTATTCCTATTGATTATCTTTGATAGGTGCTTGGGGTATAGAGCAGACTTACCAAAAAGATCAAAACATTCCTTGTTCAGGTTTTCACTTCCCTGCTTATTACTTCCCTTGCTTCTCTTGTATGACTCATTGTTCAGGTGATTTCATATACCCCTCTCTGTGGAATCAGCCACCTAGGATTCTTTATTTACAATTTGATGGTGCCAAAATATCAGTTAACAGATATGTCTTCTACCAAGGAAAAGAAGCATGTTCCCCTCCAGTCTTCCAACACAAAGTTCACCTTTTTTAAAAACCTGAAGGAGGGGCGCCTGGGTGGCTCAGTTGTTAAGCATCTGCTTTCAGCTTAGGTCATGATCCCATGACCCTGGGATAGAGCCCCGCATCGGGCTCCCTGCTTGGCGGGAAGCCTGCATCTCCCTCTCCCTCTCCCCCTGCTTGTGTTCCTGCTCTCGCTGTCTCCCTCTCTGTCAAATAAATAAATAAAATCTTTAAAAAAAAATAAAAACCTGAAGGAGAGGGCGCCTGGGTGGCTCAGTTGGTTAAGCGACTGCCTTCAGCTCAGGTCATGATCCTGGAGTCCTAGGATTGAGTCCTGCATCGGACTCCCTGCTCAGCGGTGAGTCTGCTTTTCCCTCTGACCCTCCCCCCCTCATGCTCTTTCTGTCTCATTCTTTCTCTCTCAGGTGAATAAATAAAATCTTTAAAAAAAAAAACCTGAAGGAGAAAGACGGTTGTACATTTATCATAGTTGGAATACTGTAGAACCATCATTGTGCTTGACTAAGGAAATCACTGTTCAGTGAGATCACTCTTCTGTCAGCCACAGGGAAAGAACTGTGGGGGAAATGGGTATCGTTTTATATTGGAGTCAGCAGACACAGGATGGATAGCCGCCAACCTCCATTCCCAGATAGCTGCTTCACATATTTTCAGATGAGGATAGATGGTACTCTCACAACAGCAACTAGGTGTGCGTAAAGATGGCAGGACATGGTGTATGGACAGCAGCCCAATAGGAGAATGGGACTGATTCTCTTTGGGGTTTTTTTTAAGATACTATATACTTTTTTAAGCCTTTAGTAAGCTTTCTGTTAAGCTTATCTATTTGTAAATGAGAGCTAATGGTGTGAAGGAAATGCAAACAATAGCAGCTAAGGATTGAAATATTTTACCACAGGTATAGCGCTTTTTTTTTTTTTTTATAGCCTCAAAGAAGTTTGGAGATTGAGATATTGCCAATGCCCCACACCTTTTCTGACTTGCTGAATGACCTCAGAAAACTTATTTTGGACTTGAGCTTATAAAATGTTAATCAGTAAGGACTACTAGGAATGATTATAGGAGAGTAAAAAATGTGATTAAGCACTTTATTAGTAGAATTAAGCTAAACTGCATTTTTTATAAAACCTGTTTTCATTAATATGCTATTCATCACATTTGTTTGGACTAATTTCTTTGTATTTCTGGATGAAATAAGAACACTTATTTTATTCGGAGTTCAGAATTTATTCTTCAGGAAGAACCCAAGCTAGTAAAGAAGACTCAGTATTGAATATATGATTTTCATTTGACTTCTGGTGATTGATATTGCCCAAAATTTGTGGGGTATATTAACCTTGAAAGTGCCGACATGCATTTCTAGTTGTAGATCCTCCTGAAAAATGCCCCAGGTGATTAGCTCCATTTATGTAGTGATAATGTGGAATTGCCAGGAAAAGCAGCAGATAAAGTGAACAGACACTGGAACTCAAGGGCTTGTATTCCACAGATTAGTAACATGAACCCCAGCGTCCTTCATGCTGTCTTAGTGCCTTGTGCAGAAAGTGAAGAGAAAGACCCGACCCCTATTTCCCTCACCTTCTTCAAGTCTCATTTCATGAATAGGTTGCTTTTTGCCACATTCATATGGTAATCCCTTCTGTTCCAATGAGCGGCAGCCTCTGACTTCTAGGTCAATAAATGTCATTCACTGGGAAGAGTAACATAAACAGAGTGGAGTTGAAGCCTAGTAAGCCTGCGTATATTTTATTGTGTTCATCAAAACAACTCACCAAGGGAGAATATTGAAAATGGAACAAAAGGTAAGACACCTTGAAGTGCACCTGGATGTTGACGATCAGGCATAAATTAGATTAATACAGGATTTCCCTAAGGTGACCTTACAAGGACTTTTACACAGCTTTTACAGATTTTCTTTAAATATGTTTTTTTTCTTTTTTTCAATATTTATATAAAGGTTTTTTTGTCAATCTTATGTATTTTCCTTTATCTTTGTACTGTTCTCTTCCCCCTTCTAACAAATAATAACTCTTGCACCTTTTCCTTCCCCAGAATAAGACCATCAGGCCAATGTCTTTACCGGTATGCTATCTGCTTGGGAACTGCCACCTAGAAGCAGTTCAAAAATTTTCCCACTTATATCTTTATAAAGCACTATTTTTTTATAGTACTCCTTTTTCCTCTGTAGAATTCACTCGAGAAGTAACAGACACACAGATGCCCCTTGTTGCTCCGGTCATTCTTCCAGAGATGTATAAGATCTTCACTATGGCCGAGGTATGAAATCTTAGCTCCAAGTTCCCAGCGAGTAAGAGCTGCTCATGTTCTGGTCAGCCTCCACATCTCCTGTGGGAAACTGTTGTGTTTGCTGCCTATCCCCATACATGAAGACCAGAACTGATGGAGATCTGAATCTGGATTAACCTTAGATCTTTCACTTATAACTGCGAGGACGCGCCTTTGATGAGAGAATGAAATAGCATCTGCATTGTTTCTTCATATATCTCCTACCTCCTGGCATCCTGCAACCCCTGAGTACCTACTGCTTTGTGTTACCTCTAGCCTCTTGTCGAGGCAGCCCACCTAAGCTTGTTCACCTCAGTTAAGTGTGTGCAAAGCAATCCATCGCTGCATTGCCCATAATAGGCTTGTAATATATATACAGTATAAATAAACTGTGAGTGCCTAATGGGTAATGTTTTAACTTCCTATTCCTCTCTGCCACCAGCTAAGGGTCTCTTTTGAAAGAAATACGTTGACTGTGTTGAGATTTCAAGCAGCACCCAGCCTTATATTTTTAATCAAATCAGCCCACAGAGGCCTGCATAAAAGGCTAATTCCACTGAGTTCTAACATTCTGCTGGCTTTTATTCTCTGAATTATAGAAGAAATCTGTCCTGGATATGAGTAGATGATGTTTCCCTTCTCTAGAGAATCCAGTCCCATGTCAGGATTGAGAAGTCATAGTTTTTCTTCTAGTCACAGGTATGCAGACACAGACACGCCTATCTCATGGCTATGCTGTAACTTTTCACAGGTGTATGGCATTCGAACCCGTTCCCGAGCTGTGGAGATTTTTACCACTTGTGCCCATATGATCTGTAACATGGAGGAACTGGAAAAGGTAAGGAAGCCTTTGGGTTAGTAACAGACTTTATGCTTAAAAATCTCTGTGCCTTCCATTAGAGGCGTAGCAGTGACTTACTTCAGTAGTACCAGAATGCACACTGATTTAATCAGAGTTGTGGATGCATTTAGCATTTTGATTACATTTTTCATTTGTATATAGTTTAGCTTCCTTTTGTTTGAGCCATATTTCTTCAACCATCTTATCTTGAATCTTTTCATATGAGCCATTGCCCAGAACTTCACTCTCTTATGGCCCTCTCACGTGAGACGAAGCTAGCTGAAAAACACCAACCCCTGTCATTCAGAAGCAGTTTTGAAAAGTTGGTCTTATATATAATAGCTTTTAAAAAGGCCATGATGAGGAACTGCAGGGGTTAGAGAAGAAAACCGAAATTTTGGGTAACACCTCCAGTGACTTTATGGCCGCGCTCTTCTGATTGGAACCCAAGCCGGAAGAAATCTTTAGATGCCTCAAATCTCTGTTGCGGTGTTTGATATGTGTAGTGAAGCCATTGATTAGTGGTATGTCTAGTATTGACTTTGGTTTCTGTTATCAGGGTGCAGCCAAAGTTCTGATCTTTCCTGTGGTGCAGCAGTTCACAGAGGCCTTTGTTCAGGCCCTCCAGATACCGGATGGCCCCACATCTGACAGTGGATTTAAGATGGAAGTTCTAAAGGTAAACATTTACTACCGTTGAGATACTTGGAGTTTTAGAAGGTGGTCTGAAATCATTGGTTTTTCTCCTATATCACGTGTAACTCTTAGATCTTTTTCTTTGTAATTTCTCAGGCAGTGACAGCCCTGGTGAAAAACTTCCCAAAGCACATGGTGTCCTCCATGCAGCAGATTCTGCCTATTGTTTGGAACACCCTAACTGAGAGTGCAGCTTTATATCCTTTTCAGAAAACTTAAGGGACCTGCTACCACCCGTAGTCGGGAATCTAGCATTAGGTCTTGCATTCATGTGGTTCCATTTTTTTGAATGAGTTTTTTAAAGTATCTACACTTAGGGTTGGAATGTTATACGTTCCCTTGTAGAATATATGTAAAGCAGACTCCAAATTCTGTTTCTTTACTCTTCATCATACTTATGTGAGGACAGAAGTAAATTACACAGAGGAAGTTGAAGATCCTGTGGATTCTGATGGTAGGTAGTTCATGTGATCTTGACAGATATACCACGTAGGGGGGTAAGGGATCTAGGAAAGGAAAAAGACAAAGAAAAACAGTAACATAGAGGCTTCACTCTCTTAAGTGAGTTTTCTAGTTGAGTTTCCTTTCAGTTTATTAGATGTGGGAAAATGGGACATTGAAAATCTTTAATCTGTTCCTCAAAGGCATTTGCATAAATCTCATAAAATAGAATTTCTGAGTTGGAAGAGCTACCTCAAAGGCCATCCCATCCAGCCTACTTCTTTCTGGCAGATGATGATATTTTCATTTCTGTTTTAATATTTTTTAGGTATTTGAAATCAAAAATAGACATGCTGGAAAATATATTCAGTGTTTCTGATTCTTATTACTTGAAAAACCAAAGAATATTTAATATTCTCTAAGTTCCTTTCTTTGACTCCTTAGCTCCCCTCTTCTGTTCCCTTGGGAGTAATAATCAGCAAGTACTTTAAATATTCATTAATTTACCAAGATAATGTAGTTCTTTTCCAGCAGACGTGCTTTCCTTTTGTGTTCTTGTCATTAAAATCTTCTCTTGTGTATTTCCTGTAGGTGAAGTCCTGGGCTTTGAAAATCTCGTCTTTAGTATTTTTGAGTTTGTCCATGCTCTCCTAGAAAATAGCAAATTCAAAAGCACTGTTAAGAAAGCCTTGCCTGAGTTGATTTACTATATAATCCTGTACATGCAGATCACTGAGGAGCAGGTAAATGATATTTGGGAGACAGTTAGCAGCTTGTTTTGGGAAAGTGCAACTTGAATGTGAAATCTAGGTCAAGTGAACAATTTTTATTTCTAAAAATAGACACTAGAAGAGTAACTTCATGTGAAGTCCTAGGAAGGCTTTGATACCATCTTATTGCCAAAATTTCTGGGTGTTGTGGTTTTATTAATTCCAATATTAGATAATTGGATTCTGAGAATACTTTTACCTCCATAGTACCACTAACCAAAGACCCTGGTATCTAGAACAACTTACTCCTTTTCTATAAATACTGACACACAGACGAAAATCATTAGCTTGGTTGGTGAGTCATTAGGCCAGAAAAGAACATTAAAAAAATAAGATAATGTTTCCTCTCTTAGGTAAATACCACAAGAATCAGCATAATTTTCACATTAAATATTCCGTGAGACCTAATATATTCAGAAAGTTGATCTGTCAGAAATAACAGCTAATGAAAGGTAGCAAAGAACTAGTAACCAGCCACATTCTAAAATAGTGTTTACTAGAGAGGAATAACTTTTGCTACTTAACTTGATAAAGGATTTGCTTCTCTACATCAAAAAGAAAAGACTTTGAAGCTAGAGTTCTGTTCCAGATAAAAACAAAAGGTTGAAATCTTCCTGTGTGTGTGGATGGAAAAAGGGAACATATGAACCAGATTGGCAGCCTCACAAAGCCCTAACTTCATCATCCTTTCAGATTAAAGTATGGACAGCCAACCCCCAACAGTTTGTAGAAGATGAGGATGATGATACTTTCTCCTATACGGTTAGGATTGCGGCTCAAGACTTATTGCTTGTAAGTGCGTTCCCTTGATATTTCCACTAAAAAAACCCTAATCAATCAGTTGAGTGTTCCCTCTTCTTTCTAGGCATCTAACCCAAGTTGAGCAGTGTTACTGAGTGACTGCATCTTAGATTTCTTTGAGGATAACAAGAGAGCATCTCAAATGAAGTTTGAGACTCAGGAATTCCAAAGTCATGGGTCCGGGTTTTGGTTTACAAGGAAATATTAGATATAAAAATTGTACAGAGGATAAAGTGTTCTAATGAGTAAGGGTAGTTAAATCAGGAACACTCAGTTTAATCCACTCTTAAGCCAGAATTTGTAGCACAAACCAGATGTTGGCAAACTTTAAAAAAAAAATTACATTGCTGAGAGAAGAACATCCAAACATCTGCTGTTTTCTTTGGCTCTGACTAGAGCGTAGAATTGTCTCTAGGCTGAAGTTCTGTGAAGAAGCTGCCTCTTGCTGTCTGTTGGGTGGAAGATTTGTTCTCATTATTAGTGAACACTTCTCATTATCCTTCAGTATTTCTTTTTTTTTTTTATTTATTTATTTATTTGACAGAGACATAGCGAGAGAGAGAACACAGGCAGAATGGGAGAGGGAGAAGCAGGCCTCCCTCTGAGCAGGGAGTCCGATGCGGGGCTCCATCCCAGGACCTTGGGATCATGACCTGAGCCGAAGGCAGACACTTAACGACTGAGCCATCCAGGTGCCCCTATCCTTCAGTATTTCTAAGGCACCTAGGAAAGATCACATTAAGTTTCAATTTGTAGATTAGCCTTTTATTTCTACAGTCAACCTCCCAGAGAATAAATAGTCTGGTCCATTGTCATCTGAAGCTGAGTCTATTAGTACTCACTTATGCTCTGCTCAGTCTAGCCAAAGGGAGCTTTACATTTTGTGATATGTAATGCCTAGGCACTGCAGAAATATAAATATTACTCTAATTCCATTAAAGACCCCGAACTAAGAGGGGTTGTATTTTTAATGCGCCTAATCGGGGTTTAGCATGTATATGTAAAAGAGTTTGAACCACTGAGTTTGCAGTTAAGTTTTCAGTTTCAATTAAAATGGGTTTAATTCGGGAAGCCTGGGTGGCTCAGTCGTTAAGCGTCTGCCTTGGGCTCAGGTCATGATCCCAGGGTCCTGGGATTGAGTTCAACATCCACTCCCTGCTCAGCAGGAAGCCTGCTTCTCCCTCTCCCACTCCCCCTGCTTGTGTTCCTGCTGTCGCTCTCTCGTTCTGTGTCAAATAAATAAATAAAATATTTAAAAAAAACAAAAACAAAATAAAGTGGGTTTAATTTGCACAGATAGGTTTACTAGCCCCTCCCCTCTCTCCCTAGGCTGTGGCCACTGATTTTCAGAATGAGAGTGCAGCAGCCCTGGCTGCTGCAGCCACTCGGCATTTACAAGAAGCTGAGCAAACCAAAAACAGCGGTACCGAACACTGGTAAGAGTGAGCAGCAGATACTTAACTTAAGGACATATTCTGGGCATCAGATCTGAGACAATCAAATCCTTGCTTTGAATCATGTGTTTTAAAGCAATTCTTCCCAACCTTAAAATAATTGGTTAAGATGCTTTTATTTTACCCCTTAATTTAAAAAGCCTTGGAGGGAAGGACTTTTACTTTGTTTTTAATTAGAAAAATCTGTTAATCTAAATGTCATTGTTTTCAGCTCTAGATTTAGATTAGAAGGACAGAAAATGGCCTTTTTGGGTCAGATTGTGCTGGAATGCCCTTTCATGTTTCTCCTTCCCTCAGGTGTTTATCTTTTTGGCGGTGTAGTTTGTTTTACCAGACTATGGTATCGCTTTCTCAGGTGGAAGATACACGAGGCCTGTATGCTTGCCCTCGGCTCAGTGAAGTCTATCATCACTGACAGTGTGAAGAATGGCAGGATCCATTTTGACATGCATGGGTTCCTGACCAATGTCATCCTTGCAGACCTCAACCTTTCAGGTATGTTTCAGCACAATGCCAGGATTCTGGAAGATCTTTAAACCTGTCATCAGCTCAGTTATATTGTTCACTTAGATAGGTAAACCAGGTATTCATGTGTCCTTTGGGTGAAAATTCTTTCCACACTAGAGCTTGAACTCATCTGAACCTCTGAAACAGCCTAGAGACCTTGGCTCGGGCTTTACCAGCTAAGAAATATTGCCGCATTCATAATTTTTCCACTCTGTTCACGTTTCCTTCCAAATTACTGCTCACATTTATGGCTGGTTTTGACATTTGAATAGGATGCAAATTTGGTTACTGTACCTTGAGAACTTTGGCTTGAGTTCTGTCATTATTAGGTCCAAAATACCTTCAGGCGGTTTGTGTCAGGCTCATTCTTCCTGTTTGTTTCCTGTCATTTTTCTCAAACTTTATTCTTGGCCAATATCCAAGTAATTAAAATGTTCCATTCTCAAGTCCATGTTAGCTGCTTGCCTTTTTAAGGAAAAAAAAAAAAAAGTTGGTTCTACTATATTAGACTCGGATTTTTCCAGCAATGCAGAGCAATAGCTAAGAATTATCATCTCTCTATTTGACATCTTCAGCTATGTTGCTTCTGCCCATGCTATGCCTTATTCTCATCCTTAGAACCACCCACCCCCCCATTACAAAAGGCCATCTTTGCTTTCTCACGTACATAAATCATGGCACATTTGGCATTATTTGCTCCATTCACCTGCCTCTCACTCATAGACTAGCCGTTTGAATAGCCAAAGCCATTTGAGAACATGCTACTCTGACTTTAGGTAATCTGTTAGAGGATATCTTACAAAGTCACTTCCATTCTCTGACTCACAAAATTAAAATGGCTGAACATCCAGAGCTCAGGCCCATTGGAAATACCCTTTTTCACTCTTAGGCTGATGAATGGTTTTTTTCTCATACTAGACTATAAGGTCTCTGAAGGTAGAAATCATGTCTAATACATGTTTGTATCCCACAGTGCCTTGCATGTAATAGGCATTTGATAATTATGTGTTGAAAGTGTTGAAATTTCTTAAACCCATCAATATATTTTTTGTACAATTTACCCTAGTAAAGAACCTTCAAAAATTCATGCAGACTTGAGAATATTTATAATTGAGACTGGGGCAAAGTTTAATATAGCATTTATTATCCTGTCAATAGCTAAAAGCTTTTCTGCACCAGCCATTCTCAAACTTTCTGGTGTCAAGACCCTTTTATAGTTCTAAAAATTATCAGTGATCAGAGAGTTTTTCTGTGAATTTTGTGTGTCAGTATTTAACATATTAGAAATTAAAATTACGAAGTTTCAGGGCCCCTGGGTGGCTCAGATGGTTAAGCGTCTGACTCTTGATTGTGGCTCAGGTCATGATCTCAGGGTCGTGAGATTGAGCCCTGAATCGGGCTCTGCACTGGGTGTGGAGCTTGCTTAAATTTCTCTCTCTCCCTCGCCCTCTGCCCCCCCCACTAAAATAAATAAATAAATCTGAGAAGTTTCTAAAATATAGGGAATGCAAGCATACATTTCATTAGCTGTCAGAGCCATGGTGTCACACATCAGATCACCTCTGGAAAACTCCACTGTATACTTAAGAAAGAATGAGAATGAAAAAGATGGATCATATCTTGGTATCACTATGAAAGTTTTAACTTTGGGACTCCTAGGAGTCCCTGGACCATACTTTGAGTACTGCTATTGTGTATTATATAAATTAGTATGTAATTATCTGACTGGCACAGGTTGTTAGGTTCTGTTCAATAATTCTCATCAACTACATGTTTACAGGTAACTAAGGTAAGCCCTGTGATAAGCTGATTAAGTATAGTCCCTGTCTTCAAGCGGCTTATAATGGGGGGGGGTAGACATCCTTACACAGGTGGCTGGAATATCCAACAAAATGTGTAAGAATATGTAAGAAAGCTAAAGACTAGCACAGAGATAGTTAGGATTACTTCAGCCTAAGATCAGTTGGATGATGTAAGTAGAGGTGAGTGTCTTGGCTTATATACAAAGCACAGAAATGGCAAGGTAAGATGCAAGTTGCTGGGAGGGGTGTGTGCTTGAGTTTAGAACACATAAAAGGAAATCATCGATAATGCTAAAGTTCCGGATCATACGGGGCCTTGAATCTAATGCTTAACTAAAATGGTCTTTATTTGTTAGACTATGGAATTTATTGACAGGTACTAAATAAAAGAATGACAGCTATAATTTATAATATTTCAGTAGTGGTCCAAGAATAGGAAAAAACTGGCAACAGAGACATTTAGAGGACTAACTAGTAGTGCAGGTAAAGGATAATGAGAGGTAAGGATGGAAATGAAGGAGGTAAGTCTTTTTAGCCTAAGAATATTCAAGATCTGCTTTGCAACGAATAGTGAAAAGTGAAACTGGGAAAATGATTCTGTACCATAGGTTGAACATTTGCTTTTATCTGATAAGATCATCCTTTTTCCTTAATTAAGTTGTATATATTATGTAGTATCTAGTTACTGTGACAAGTTGAGGATGGAGGTGGGAAAGGAGGAAGGGCAAGTAACAGAAACTTTTATTGTCCAACCCCTAATCGCTCTCTCTTCCTCCCAGTGTCTCCTTTTCTCTTGGGCCGGGCACTTTGGGCTGCCAGTCGGTTTACTGTTGCTATGTCCCCCGAATTGATCCAGCAGTTTCTACAGGCAACAGTTAGTGGTCTTCATGAGACACAACCCCCATCAGTTCGAATTTCTGCCGTGAGAGCCATCTGGGGGTGAGTACACCACCTTAGAGTGGTAAGAGCTATTTTAAGAGAAAGTTACTCAGAGTAGAAGTCCCAAACAGCATTTGGCCAGTGGATTATGTTGTTGGAAATTTCTGATGATCTCCTACCAAATGGCAAATGGACGGGAAAAAAACATACCAAGAACACGGCTTCTATGCATGGGTTTGGATTTATGGCAGGCTCATCCCCCTGGGCCTCTCACAGTGCCCCATGCCAGAGCAAACTGTGGCCCCGAACCATTGCCTGGCCTCTGTGCCATAGGCTGCAGGCACTGAAGTGGGTTGCACAGTGAAAAGAGAAAACAGAAAAAAAAGAAACAATGTGGCTTCTTTGAGTCCCAGTAGATCTTGTTCCCTTTTGTTCCTTATTCCTTTAAAATTCACTCCAGCTCTAGAGACATCTAGACCAACTCCCTTTCTTAGGTGAAGAATTGAGGGATAAATAACTTGCATAGGGTTGTAAGTGAAGAATTATAGAAGCATGATTAGAGCCCAGGTCCTTTTGTTGATTGACTTCCCTGTTTTAGAGACTAAATTTGGGATAATGAGGCCTAGAAACACTGCTTATTTTCTCCTAGTTTTACCTCCGTTTTTCACAGATAACATACTAGTGGCTCAACTAGTCATTTATTTATATTCCTACCAAGATCAGAGGGAGTACTGTTTTAAGAAATATTTTAAAGTCCAAACTTAAAAATCTCAGTCGAATCCTAAAAACTACCTAAAATCCTAAAAATACAAAATTCATCTACCTACTGGTGCTCTCTTCTTTTGAAGTAGAGATTGAGATGCTCCGCATTATTATATGTCTTTAGAAAGCACTGAGGGGAAATAGTGTATGCAGGATGGCAGAATAAGATGCCTGTCGCTTGTATCTCTCCCTCAACAACAATAATTTGGCATCTATTGATGGACAACAGTGCCTTTGTGGGAGCTGTGAGACCCAGAGAGGAGACTGCAACCCCAGTGCTGTCCAAGAACGAGGAGAGCCATTTTGAGAAGTCAGGCCCACACCAGGCAGCTGATGTATCAACCCTAGTCCTGGCTGTAGCCCCAGACACAGCTCCATGCCCTTAAGGGCTTGGATTCTATCACCAGCACCACACATCAAGTACCTGGGAGGATCTTACCCAGCTGTGTGTTGGAGAATAGGAATACAGACCTCAGTCCCAGCTGCAGACCCTGAAGTAGTCCATGAACTCGCTCCACCCCCTCTCAGCTGTGGTCCAGGAACCCCTGGAGAACATGGATTTAGACAATCACCCAATCACTTCTCGGCTTTTTGGCTAAGATCAAGTGTAGACAATCACCCAAAGATGAAAGAGCCTTTGTGGAAGTCCGAGAGTCCAGCAGAGAGATTCCAGCATAGCACTGGAGCCAAAGAAATCCAAGACTGGACAGTTTAAAGGGGTCAATCAGAAAAGACTGGAAGAAGTAACCGTTACTTCAAATGTGAAGACCTGCAACACAAGAAAGACTTCAAGGAACATGAAAAATCAAGGAAACGTGACACCACAAAAGGAGCACAATAATTTTCCAGTAACTGAGCCCAAACACGGAGATCTGTGATATACCTGATAAAGAATCCAAAATAACTTTTAAGGAGCTCAGTGAGCTACAAGAAAACACAAAAAACAATTCAATGAAATCAGAAAAACAATACAGAAACATAATGAGAAGTTCAACAAATAAATAGAAATCATGGGAAAAAGAACCAAGCAGAAATTCCAGAGGTGAAGAATACAATGAATGAAATAAAAAATGCAACAGAGACCATCAAAAGCAGAACAACTCAAGAGGAAGAAAAAAACCTGTGGAAAAGAAGACAGGACCTTTGAAATTATCCACTCAAGGAGGGCAACGAATAAGGAATGAAAAAGAATGTAGAAAACCTATGTGAACTTTAGGATGCTGTTAGGAGAAACCGTCTGTGAATTATTGGAGCTCCGGAAGGAGAAGAGAGGTAGAAGGGGGAAGAAAGCTTAAATAAATAACATCTGAGAATGTCCCAAATCTGAAGAGAGATTGTACATCCATGTTCATGAGGCCAGTATTTCACCCCAAAATTTCAAATTCAAAGTGATCTTCTCCAACATACATTATAATAAAACTATCAATTAGTTAAAAAAAATTTGTCTAAAATCACATGACTTTTAAAGCAGCAAGAGAAAAACATTTCTCTCATGTAAGGAAATCCCTATAAGACTGTCAGCTGACTTTGCAGCAGAAACCCTGCAGGCCAGGAGAGAGTGGCATGGTATGTTTAAAGTGCTGAAAGAAAAAACTGTCAACCAAGAATACGCAGCAAAGATGTCCTTCAGGAATGAAGGCAAGATACAGTCTCTCAAACAAAGCTGAGGGAATTCTTCACCACTAGGCCTACCTTACAAGAAATACTGAAAGGAATTCTGAAATGAAATTATTATGAAATATACAACACACTGATAAAGATGAGTATATAATCAAATTCAGAATACTCTAATTCTGTAATCTGGCAGTGTGTTAACCACTTATCTCTAAAGGTTAAGGGACAAAAGTATTGAAAATAGCTAGCTAAATAATTTAATGAATATACAATATAAAAAGTTAAATTGTGATGTCAAAAACAAAAGAGTGGGAATAAAGAGTAGAGCTTTTGTATACGAAGTTATCAGTGTGAAATAAACTGTTATATCTATAAATGTTTTATGTAAGCCTCACAGTAACCACAAAGCAAAAATCTATAATAGACAACAGAATCAGAGCATTCCACTATGGGAAATAATAAATTCACAAAGACAGCAAGAGAGGAAGAAAGGAACAAGGGCACCTGGGTGGCTCAGTCGTTAAGAGTCTGCTTCAGCTCAGGTCATGATCAGGGAGTCCTGGGATCAAGCCTCACATCGGGCTCCCTGCTCAGCGGGGAGCCTGCCTCTTCCTCTCCCGCTCCCCCTGCTTGTGTTCCTTCTCTGGCTGTCTCCCTCTCTGTCAGATAAATAAAAAATCTTTTAAAAAACAGAAAAGACCCAACTTATATGCTGCTTTTAAGAGACTCACTTCAGGATACACATGTTCAAAATGAGGTGATGGAAAAACTATTCCATCCAAGTGGAAACCAAAACAGAGCAAGGGTAGCTATATTCTTATCAGATAAAATAGACTTTAGCTCAAAAGCTGTACAAGAGACAGAAAAAAGGTCATTATGTAATGATAAAGGGGTCAATTCATCAAAAAGATATAACATTTGTAAATATATATACATTTGACATTGGAGCACCTAAATATATTAAGCAAATACTAGCATCTGAAGGGAGAAATAGACAATAATACACTAATTGTAGGGGAATTTTAATAACCCACTTTCAACAATGGATAGATCATCCAAACAGAAATCAATAAGGAAATACTGGATTTGAATTATACTTTTGACTAAATGCACCTACTAGACATATACAGAACGTCCTATCCAACAGCAGCAGAATACACATTCTTCTCAAGCATCCTCCAGGAGAGGTCATGTGTTAGGTCACAAAACAAGTCCTAGCAAACTTAAGACTGAAATCATACCAACTCTCTTCTCCAACCACAGTGAAATAACATAGAAATTAATTACAGGAGGAAAACTAGAAAATTCACAAATACGTGAAAATTAACAAACTCCGAAACAATCAATGGAAAAAGAAATCAAAAGAAAAATAGAAAAATATCTTGAAACAAAAATGGAAACATAACATACCAAAACTTAAGGATGCAGCAAAACCAGTTTTAGGAGAGAAGTTTATAGAGATAAGTCTCTACATTAAGAAAAAAAAAAATCTCAAACAACTTTACATCTCAGGAACTAGAAAAAGAAGAACAAATTAAGCCCAAAGTTAATAATAGGAAGATCCAAGCAAAAATAGAGACCAGAAAAACCATAGAAAAGACCAACTAACCTAAGAGCTGTGTTTTTTGAAAACACAAAACCGATAAACTCTAGCTAAGCTAAAAAGAAATGAGAGAAGACTCAAATATAAAATCAGAAATGCATGAGCATGGAGCTCCAGCCTCCGCTACAGCAGTCTGTAGTATTTTAGCTGTCTAACTGTTCTTTCTGAAATAGAAACCTGAGGGGCGCCTGGGTGGCTCAGATGGTTGAGCATCTGGCTTTGGCTCAGGTCATGAATCCAGGGTCCTGGGATCGAGCCCCACATCGGGCTCCTGGCTCGGTGGGGAGCCTGCTTCTCCCTCTCCCTCTGCCTCCCCCTCCCTGCTCATGCTTTCTCTCTCTTTCTCTGTATCTCTGTGTCTCAAATGAATAAATAAAATCTTTAAGTAACATAAAATAAAATAAAATAAAATAAATAAAATAGAAACCTGATAGTTTTGCTCCTGTAAGTGAAATTCTCCTGGTTCCAGTTGTGCTCTTCAAATTGAGGTACAGGTACCCCAGAACAAAGCCCTAGTATGCCGGCTGATATGTGAAACCACGGGATAAATCTGTAGCATCTTCCTGGGGCTTCAGTTTTGCTTGAAGACTTTCGGGGAGGGCAAAGAAGGTACTGGAAATAATTTGTAAAAAAAAGTTTGAGATACACTGGCTTCCAAAATAAAGTCTAGCCTTCCTTAGTGTGCCATACAAGATCCCGTATGATCTAAGCAGATAATTTGATCTCCATGATCTACCAGACTGTATAGTTTCAAGTTCCTCAGAAGAGCAAAGTAACTATAAATCCTTAAGAGTGGAGAAGCAAGAGGAAGAGGTAGAGCACAACTGAGTACCAGTAGAGAGATGGATGCAAAACCTGGTCTGAGAGTTGAGAGCTGACCAAGGCCAGATGACAGATCAGCTCTCAAGGAAAAGTTAGATACAGAGCAAGGTAAAATTGAAAATCAAGATATTATGGACCAAAAAACAAAAAGTCCAGGGTGCCTGGGTGGCTCAGTTGGTTAAGCGACTGCCTTCGGCTCAGGTCATGATCCTGGAGTCCCGGGATCGAGTTCCGCGTCGGGCTCCCTGCTTGGCAGGGAGTCTGCTTCTCCCTCTGACCCTCTTCCCTCTCGTGCTCTCTATCTCTCATTCTCTCTCTCTCAAATAAATAAATAAAATCTTTAAAAAAAAAAAAAAAGTCTGGGGCTCCTGGGTGGCTCAGCTGGTTAAGTGTGCGACTCGTGATTTCGGCTCAGGTCATGATCTCATGGGTTGTGGGACCTGCTTGTCCCTCTCGCTCTGCTCCTCCCTCCACTCGCCTACTCTCTCTGTCTCAAATAAGTAAATAAATAGACTTTTTTAAAAAGTCTGTGGACAAATCTGAGACATCAAAGCCCACAGTTTCACTGTTCATTATGGACCTTTGAACCCAGCATCTGACACAAGTAACATGGTTATAAGCCACTTAAAAAAAATTTAAGAAAAAACATTTATTGAGTACCTGGGGAGGGCCTTGTTTCTGTACTAGGTTCTTTTAACATAGAGAAACAGTGTTTTTATTGACTTCTATTGCCATTCTGAAGATAAACGAAAGTAAAGACTTAAAACAGTATGTCTTTAATAATTATATTCCATTGGACATGGTAAGCAGCACTCAGTAAATATTGATTGAATAAGAGGTGAATAAGTTAAAACTATGTATAGAAAACTTTAAACCCCACCAACAGTATACGAATTTTAGTACACAATTTTCTATTGTACACAGATATACAAGTTTATTATTGCATAGAATGTCTATACAAATTGACCTCATTTTAGGATGCAAAATACTCCAAAAAGTACAAAATTTTTATAACATGAAAGTTAAATAATCTCCTACTAAATAACAGTTGTGTTAGAAAAGATGTTAAAAAACTAACTGTTGGGGGGCGCCTGGGTGGCTCAATCGTTAAGCGTCTGCCTTTGGCTCAGGTCATGATCCCAGGGTCCTGGGATCGAGCCCTGCATCGGGCTCCCTGCTCCGCGGGAAGCCTGCTTCTCCCTCTCCCCACTCCCCCTGTTTGTGTTCCCTGTCTCGCTGTGTCTCTCTCTGTCAAATAAATAAAATCTTAAAAAAAAAAAACTATTGGGATGCCTGAGTGGCGCAGTCAGTTAAGCATCTGCCTTCTGCTCAGGTCATGATCCCAGGGTCCTGGGATGGAGCCCCACAGCAGGCTCTCTGCTTGGTAGGGCACCTGCTTCTCCCTTTCCCTCTGCCTGCTTGTGCTTTCTCTCTGTCAGATAAATAAACAAAATCTTTAAAAAAAAAAAAAAAAAAAGAATCAGATACTGAACTAAGCCACCCAAGTGCCCCCAAATATTTACGGGGTTTTTGGGTTTTGGTTTTTTGTTGTTGTTGTTTTGTTTTAAAGATTTATTTATTTGTCAGAGAGAGAGAGAGCACAGGCAGAGGAAGAAGCAGGCTCCCCGCTGAGCCACCCAGGTGCCCCTGACTTTTTGTGTGTTTTTTTGTTTTTTTTTTTGTTTTTTTTTTTATTGAAGAGAGAGCACGAGTGGGAAGGGCAGAGGGTTAGAGAATCCGAAGCACACTCCATGCTGAGCCCTGAGCCCGATGCAGGGCTCGATCTCACAACCGTGAGATCACTACCTGAGCTGAAACCAGGAGTCAGAGACGCTCAACCGACTCAGCCACTCAGAGCCTCCCCCACAATCCTGTTTTTGTTTTGTTTAGGTTTTTTTTAACATTTATTTAAGGCGTCTGACTCTTGATTTTGGCTCAGGTCATGATCTCAGGGTGATGGGATCAAGCCCCTCATTGGGATCTGTGCTCGGGAGTCTACTTCTCCCTCTCTCTCTGCTCCTCCCCCCACTCTCTCTCTCTCTCTCAAATAAATTTTAAAAATCTTAAAAATAAAACCACTGTAACTATTTGAAAAATAACAGGAATATATAAAAATCTGAAGGATGTGATTAAAGCAGTAACCTGAGGAATTATAAAGCATTTAATTAACATCTTAATAATTTGAATATAATGATACGACAGAGTGGGAGAGGGATGAAAGTTTAAAATAGCAAAAAACCAAAGCAGAAATAAATTAGCATAGAGATGGTGGTGCTGATGTTTACAAAATATGCCCCAGAAAGATGTAAAAACTAACTCTACAAGTAGCTTCATAAAGCTACACATATGGGGTGCCTGGGTGGCTCAGTCATTAAGCGTCTGCCTTCGGCTCCGGCTCCCTGCTCCTCGGGAAGCCTGCGTCTCCGTCTCCCAGTTCCCCTGCTTGTGTTCCCTCTCTCGCTATATGTCTCTGTAAAATAAATAAATAAAATCTTTAAAAAAAATAAAGCTACACATACAAATGCTGTAATCTATGATAGCGAATAGAAGAACAAGGAATTAAGCGATCCACTTGGGAGTAATGCTTCTCTCTCTCTCTCTAGTTATTGTGACCAACTAAAAGTCTCAGAGAGTACCCACGTACTTCAGCCCTTCCTCCCCAGTATCCTGGATGGCTTAATTCACCTAGCAGCCCAGTTCAGCTCAGAGGTCCTCAACCTGGTGATGGAGACCCTGTGCATCGTTTGTACAGTAGACCCAGAGTTCACAGCAAGCATGGAAAGCAAAATCTGCCCCTTCACCATCGCCATTTTCCTGAAGTACAGTAACGGTATGCACCAGGACTGTGTGTGGATGGGGGACACCAAAGGGAAGGTGGTGGCTGGTGAATTTAGGTGAAACTTTTCCCTGGGTCTGTTGATCTTAAGCATCATAAGCAAAGAATAGCTTTCACTCAGCAAAGAGGAGAGCCATACTGGAGCTACAGGAACACCAAAAAGTAGAGTAGCTATTCCTGTCACTTTGACCTGCAGTCAGAACTGGGGAAGAAGACGACGAGTAAAGGGTTAGCAGGCAAGAGGTACAATTCAGAACTTTAACAGTCAAGTAGGAAATTGAGCAATTACATCAAAATCTTCCTAAAAGAAGAGGCTTACAGCCAGAATGTGGAAAGATACTGAAGAAAGACACATGCGAAGGGTTACGAACAGTGGGGTTCATCACATGGCTTTTGTAGTAGCAAAAGTTTAGAAGTAATAAAAAATTAATTACATTTATTATATCCATAAAGTGGAATACCATGCATCCTCTAAAAATCAAACTTGAAAGGAATAGTTAAAGCCATGGGAAAGTGTGCACATTATAAGAAGAGAATAGAGGGTTTTCCAAACTGCATAGAATATAATCCCAAGTTTGGGGTTTGTTTTAGACAAAAACTAATTCATAGATATGTATTTAAAAAAAATATCAGAAGAAAATACATCAAAATGTTAAGGGTAGGTCTCTCTAGGTAGTGGAATTCCAGGTGTTTTCTTTCCTTGAATACTTTCCTACATTTTAAGTTTTTCATTAGTGAGTATGCATTATAATAACAACACTTTACTTGTGTAATGCTTCATTACCAGAGAAAATATTGAGGATATTTGTTTTTATAGAGGGAGTGCCAGTATTGAAATACAGGATATGTAGAGGTAGGAGTTATATAATATGACATCTACTAAACATTTTATTTGATTTGCTTTTTCACTTAAAATGTGTCCTGAAGGGACACCTGGGTGGCTCAGTCAGTTAAGCATCTGCCTTCAGCTCAGGTCATGATCCCAGGGTTCTGGGATCGAGTCCTGCATTGGTCGGGGGGAGGGTCCTTGCTCAGCGGAGAATCTGCTTCTTCCTCTGCCTTTCGCTCCCTCTGCTTGTGCGCTGTCTCTCTCTCTCTGACAAAATAAACAAAATCTTCAAAAAAAAAAAAAATGTCCTGAACAGGTTCCACATTGCACTCTTAGATCTCTCTCATTCTTTTCAGCCACCACATAATATTCCATAAAATGGCTGCGTCATAATTTGCCTGTTCTGTTAATGCACGTCTAGGTTGTTAGCAGTTTTTTTTGCAAAGCAATGCCGCAGTGATCTTTTAACATGTATCTTAGTACACTGCACACTTTCTATTTTCTCCTGCTAGATACAGGAAGAAATATTTCTTAAATAGGTGAAGTAGGTCAAGCCAAAGTTTCATTTCTCCACAAGGCTCTGCCTTGTGAGGGTTTTGCCTTTTGCCTTGGAAATGCTTTGGGAGCTCTTTTTCCTCTCATAACTAACCCCTGGGAGATGTGTATAGTTCCTCTCCAACATGGGAGAACCTGGCATTGAGTGTTGTGGCAATCTTTGAAACTTTCATGGTCTTCTTAACAGAGTGTCAGTGGGGATTTTTTTTTCCTTAAGCATTTGGTTTCATAATCCAGGTTTCATAAGAAAAAAAGTCATTAAAGATTTGCCCCAGAAAAAGAGCCAAGTTTCATTTTAGGAGTAGCTATTACTGGCCAGTCTCTGACTTAACGAAACCATGCATACTCTGGCTCTTGCAGATTTAGCATCTCTCCTGTTTCAGGTTATTCATACGGCCTCACTAGGTCCCAGGTATGTGATGTGTAAGCAAAGCAGAAGTTGTTAACTTAGGTGAGGGCCGAACAGCAGGCGTCATTAAGCCAGAAGCACATGCAGACCATTGGGTGGGGGGGATTCTGTGTTGCCTTATCCACTTCAGATCCTGTCGTCGCCTCGCTGGCCCAGGATATCTTCAAGGAGCTGTCCCAGATTGAAGCCTGTCAGGGCCCAATGCAGATGAGGCTGATTCCCACTCTAGTGAGCATAATGCAGGCCCCAGCAGACAAGATCCCTGCAGGACTGTGTGCGGTAAGTGGCTACAGGGCACTGGTGTGGGCGGAGGTATAAGAAAAAGAGCGTGCATATGCTCTGCACATGTCACCTGTAGATCGCACCTAGCTGACAGGAAACCAGTGGCATTAGAGATTCATAGGGTGATTTTTCTGGGCTACTGTGCCCACAGGACAGTGGGTGATTCTTGAGGCTTTAAGAAAATGGCTCTTGTTCCCGAATTGTCCTCATTGAATTGAACAGAGTGCTGTTATTACACAGTGCCACTGACTATGTCACCAGACTGTTCACTCCACCGCCGTACACTGCCTGCTCCCCTACCTGAGCAAGCAGTAAGCTATCAGGAGGAGGCTGAGAGCACTGTCTACTATCGAATTATTCCTTTCCTTCAGAAACTTCATTAGTAAAAACTAATGAGCTTTCTTTGGGTTGCTGTGTTGTATCCATGCAATAAGGATCTTGGTTGTTGGGCACCCCCGGTCCCCACCCTAGGGGCGGTTCTGATTCTCTTGTTTCCCCTCTTCTCTCCTTCAGACGGCCATTGATATCCTGACCACAGTAGTACGGAATACAAAGCCTCCCCTTTCCCAGCTACTCATCTGCCAAGCTTTCCCAGCCGTGGCACAATGCACCCTTCACACAGATGACAACGCCACCATGCAGGTATCTGAGCTGTGGTGACTAGAAGAGGGACGATTGCTCCCCGGCCGTGGGCATATAGTAGCCTGAGAAAGCTGACACAGTTGCATGCTTTTGAGATACAGGTCTCTCAAATCCATATTTAACCAAGGGACCCAGGAAGGGTCTGGACTGCAGAAGCCAAGCATTCTCTGCTTTGGGATATGTTGTAATCTTACATATATAAGATTATGTAAGGATGCCAGACATCCTACCCATCTGTATCTGGGTATGGCTATTGTGGACGAGATTACAGACATTTAGACTCGAAGCTCTAAGAAAGTCTTTTCTGACTTAATAAAGTCAGCAAAGTAATAGGCCTTTGGAAACCTCTAAGCAGACAGTGGTTCATATAGGTTTGTCTTTATTCCCATAAAGACCTGTAATGTCCGTAATCATTGCTTATATCTGAAACATGTTTTTCCAGTACCAGAGGTAGATATTTATGGCTAAAACTTAGTTTACTTGGCCATTATCCCTTGTGATCGGAAATACGCATTTTTGAGATAGCTGATTAGGTAAAGCAAGGACTGTATAGTGCAGGCTATATCTGTACCAGTAAATGCCTGACTCCAGTAGTATGTGCCCACCACAAACCCTGTAGGCTCATTACCCTTATGAGGCACAGGCCTCTAAGAAAAACATTTGCCCGTACAGACTGAGGGCCTCCTGACACCTGTCCCCCCTGTTGCTAATCTCATTTGCCACCTTTGTCTCCCCAGAATGGTGGAGAGTGCTTGCGGGCTTACGTGTCGGTGACGCTGGAGCAGGTGGCCCAGTGGCACGACGAGCAGGGCCACAACGGGCTGTGGTACGTGATGCAGGTGGTGAGCCAGCTCCTGGACCCCCGTACCTCCGAATTCACGGCGGCCTTCGTGGGTCGCCTCGTCTCCACCCTCATCTCCAAGGCAGGGCGGGAGCTTGGGGAGAACCTGGACCAGATTCTTCGTGCCATCCTCAGTAAGATGCAGCAGGCAGAAACGCTCAGTGTCATGCAGGTAAGGGGACAGTGGGGAGCAGGGCTTTCCTGGCCTCCGGGTGGTAGAGATGGAAATGGATATACAGGCCCTGAGGTGTTTTACTTTGTCTTACTGTCCTTGCAGAACAGTTACGTAAAATCTGTCTATTCTGGCCCAAGAAATACTGACAAGGAAATCTCCATGTTCTCGATTTCTTGACCGGCCAGCCCCATTCCCTCTCATCTCCAAGTCTCTGAAATTGGTTTCCCTGAAGTAGATGTCCTTCTTGTTACCTCCTAGTCTCTGATCATGGTGTTCGCTCATCTGGTGCACACTCAGCTGGAACCCCTCTTGGAGTTCCTGTGCAGCCTCCCGGGACCTACTGGCAAACCTGCCCTGGAGTTTGTAATGGCTGAGTGGACAAGCCGACAGCATCTGTTCTATGGACAATATGAGGGCAAAGTCAGGTAGAGCCCATCTTTCTTCTGTGGGCATTCTGCCCTCTCCTTGCATTTCTTCTTTCCCTGACTTGCTTCATTGGTTTTTGTTCAACATGTCAGACTGCCCCTTGTATTCCCTTTTCCCTCTATTTCTTTATTGTTAATCGGTGTCTTTGAATAGTTGCCATCTTGAAATTTCCAAAACACAGTCGACACAAGTACACCATGTTTTTTTTCCCTCTCTGCTGGCTAGCGATCCCCCTCTGCCACAGACTTCACCCAGCCAAGTACTGCTAGTGGCTTATTCTCCTTTATAAACCCAAGCCTTCTAACCCTGGCTTTGCTAACTTCCTGTCCTAGACTTGCTTCCCACTGGTTCTCATCATCGTGTTGCACCTTCCAGTGTGGCGAGCCGTTGTGATCCTTGCCCACCCTAGCTTTGTTCAAGAAGTTCAAAAGTTCTCGTTAGCCCATCCTCATGAACACTAAATCCCATTTTCAGCTAGGTTCTCTTATCTCTCCTAATTTGTGAACAGAATTTTCACCAACCAAGAGAAGAGTCTTAGGACATAATTGCTTGTCTCCTTGGAGTGAACTCTAGATGGGTTGCTGATTGACCCTTTTTGGCTCTTCCTTGCTAGCTCTGTGGCACTGTGTAAACTGCTCCAGCATGGCATCAATGCAGATGACAAACGGCTACAGGATATCCGCGTGAAGGGAGAGGAGATCTACAGCATGGATGAGGGCATCCGCACCCGCTCTAAGTCAGCCAAAAGTGGGTGATGCTGCTGCCCCTCCAGTCTCCTCCCTAGGGGCTAAGTGGGGTGGAAGGCAGGGATGTACTGTGATCTAGATTTTTAAAATATAATTGTTAGTGATGGCTTTGATAAAAAGAAACAGAAAGCTATAGGTAAACAAAGGATCAGAACATATGGTTCTTTCTTGTTGCTGAAAATTGGCAAAAACAATCTCAGGGACCCCAACTTCCAGCTTCATTCGGGGGCTCTGATACCCATATCAGCTGTCTTTGTTATCAGATTGCTTTTGGCCTGTGATGTCAGTGATTTGTAGGCAGCGAGTACAAAGCTGCCCTCTCCAGCTGTAGGTTTATAATCCCTATGCTGTTTCTCAGACTGCAAGTCATGGGGACTGGAGTATTGCACTCTGTTCAGTTACTTGGTGTCCAAGCTTTGTTACCAGCAAAACCCTATCTCTAATTCCTGAACTCTCTTATCTGTCCTAACTTCTGAACTCTTAGAACACCAAGCAGAATGAAGTTATTTAACTTTCAATCGTTCTGTGGCAAGTGGGTACGGTCTGGGATGGTGGAAAGCTCAAGGGTTGGTGAACTGTGTCTGGTGAGCACTGCCAGAAGTGAGCCCACTGACAGTCTGCCTAGAAGCCTTTCCTTTCCTTTCCAGACCCTGAGCGCTGGACAAACATTCCTTTGCTGGTCAAGATCCTGAAGCTGATCATCAATGAGCTCTCCAACGTCATGGAGGCCAATGCCGCACGCCAGGCCACTCCTGCAGAGTGGGGTCAAGGTGCACGAGGCTCTTACTCCCAGCAGACTTTTAGCCTGGCAGATCAAGTTACAAATGTTCAAATTGACCAGTTTCGGTTATTGAATCATGGGGTTTTTTTAATGTTTATTGCCTGTCTGTCACGTGGCTAGCATGGCTACACACGTTAAGAGCTGCTCTTCTGGTCTGCCTTGTGAACTCTTTTCAGAGGCTGGGGTAGGAGGCAGCCGGGAGGCAACCTTTCTGTTTGGTTTTTCTCAGGAGTTTCCGCCTTTTACCTACCCGCCAGAACACCCTCGGTTCTTCCACTTAAACATTCTGGGAGGGCTTGGCCACAGGCCACATTGCAGAAACCCTTGGGACCCTTCTGTTCTGGCCTGTGTGCATTTGGGAAGGGAAAACGTGTGAGCGTGCTCCAGCCGCTTTTCATCTCCAAGTAGATGACTCCAACGATATGTGGGAGGACCAGGGGGAGGACGAAGAAGAGGAGGAGGACGGTTTAGCTGGCCAGCTCCTATCTGACATTCTCGCTACAAGTAAATACGGTAAGCCGTTGGAGACGGGGGCAGCCTTGCCAAATAGCTTTTCTGTGCACAGGTACCAACGATGGGGTGCCAAAGAAAGGGGAGGGGTGGGCCCGCAAGGAACGTTCCTTGGGCTTTTTTAGCCCTTCTACCCCAGCCGTGTGGTGACGCCTCCCTGCTTGGGGCGCAAGCAGGAGCCTCTGCCCTGAACCCTCTCTATGTTGGCTGTGTCTAACAGAGGAGGATTACTACGAGGATGATGAGGAAGATGACCCTGATGCCCTAAAGGATCCTCTCTATCAGATTGATCTGCAGGTGAGAATGTCCAGAGAAGATAGATCTCTTGCAAGTGACAACGTCTCAAGCCACAGAAACAGGAATATGGCCTCAAACCCATTCATAGTTCATCCTGGGAGCTTCAGGGCAGAGAGTTCCGGTCTTGCTGAGTAGTCAGGGGCTCTGGGTGGTCTGGGCCTTTGCACCTTAGTGTTAAACCTGCAGTCCAGTTTCTTGCAACCCGGCCATCTTGTGAAGGTCCTTGGGTGGAATATGAGATCTGTTGGGAAAATTTTGTTTCCTTATGGAATTTAGTCTCTGGGTTGAACCTGAACTAGATCCAAGAATGTAGAAAGCCACCGTTCAGGGTGTTGGCATTTGTCTAAAAGCCAATGCTTCCTGTACCACTTGGGGTTCTTGCCCTGCTACAGGTGGTGAGCCTGGGAACCCTCAGGAATGCCATTCTTTTTCTTCCCTCCAGGCATATCTCACGGACTTCCTCTGCCAGTTCGCTCAGCAGCCCTGCTACATAATGTTCTCAGGCCACCTTAATGACAACGAGAGGCGGGTTCTGCAGACCATTGGCATCTAAAAAATGGACACTTTCCACATCTGCTCCTCCTGGCCCAGCCACAAACCATTTTGCAGCCCTAAACTGGCCTCGAGATGTACTTTCTTTTCAACCTAGAGTGGCCTCCTGACTCTCGGCCCTTGGCCTTTGCAGAGTGACAATTCAGACCAAGCTCACCAGTGCTGTCACTTAGGAATACTGGAACAAAGGACATTTCTCAAAGACCCCCTGAAGAGACTCCATCTCTAGAACCTTTTTCTCCCCAACTGTGCCCTCACCTCTGTTCCTAGAGTCCTCTGCTGGCCACTCCAGAAACATATTGCCCAGAAGGATTATGTGTTCATGGATTATTTTGTCCCACCTCAGGAGCACAGGAAGTCATGACCATTTATATTCTAAAACAGACCTGTTTACTTTCATAGGACATCTGATGTGTTCAGATAGGAATAACCTTGAGAGATGATTCTGCTTTCTGCCCTCCACCACAGATGCTCTGGGTTCTCCATAGGAACGAGAGAGAGCAGCTACATTCTGAGCCCTCTCCAGTGACCTCTCCTTGTCTCCTTCCTATAACACTAAGGCTCCCCTGTCAAAGGAAGTCATCTTGTTTTTGCCTCATTGCATGACACAGCCCCTCCCCCTAAGCAATCCCTGTGTATACATGCACACACACAAAATAAGCCAGACAGATGGCACGTTGGTTTTCCTTTTTTAGAAAAAAAAAAAAAAATGGGAAAAACATTTTTTTAAAAGTCCTCCTGACCCAACCATATTTAATATTCCTCTCCCACCCATCACCACACAGTCTGATAGTCAAAGGTTACCCCATCTCCCTCAGAAATCCTCTAAAGTGGTTAAGTTGTAGCCCTCAAATTTGCAATGTGTATTTTTCTAGGAGAGTAAAGTAATCTTTACAAATGAATTTAGTCCGCATGGTATAAGGTGTACCAGCACATCTGCCTTCTGTTCCTTTTAGAAGGAAAATAAACTTAAGGGGAAAAAGATTAGGCAGAGCCATGTAGACACCCTAGTGTGTTTTAGCTAAGCTAGCTCAAAATGATTCTTAGAGAGTTATTATCGTCCAATCAAGTATTTTTAAGGGCGGTCCCTTATTTGGGAATTTCAGTCTGATGTGGGTGAATGAGGATAATAAATCAAGGGGAGGAAGGCAAAGCCCAGCATTCCCTTTTTTGATAGTGCCCACACCTGGTGCCTCAGTTTTAGCAGCTACAGAAGATTTCTTGAGGTTGATGGTCTTGCGGACAAGAAATAGAATATAAAGTGAATTTAAGTCTCTGTTCTCTCTTTTTTTTTTTTTTTTAAGATTTTATTTATTTGACAGAGACACAGCGAGAGAGGAAACACAAGCAGGGGGAGTAGGAGAGGAAGAAGCAGGCTTCCCGCGGAGCAGAGAGCCTGATGGGCTCGATCCCAGGACTCTCGGATCATGACCTGAGCCGAAGGCAGACGCTTAACGACTGAGCCACCCAGGCGCCCCTTAAGTCTCTGTTCTTAACTGACTGAGCCGTTCTTGAGGAAAGGGCCCCACTTGTGGGGCATTTACTGTACAGGACTGTTAGGGAAGCCTAAGGATTTTGTAGCTAATAGTGATTTCACGCCACTAGGTGTCCCTGGTGTACAATTCTCACATCTGAGATGGGGAAAGTGTCTTTTAACCTTACTATCTTTGAAAAGCCTGAGGGTGTGTGCACAGCATGGTCTGCTGCCAGCCAGGTTCTGAGACTAGTAACTGCCCCTGCTGTTTCTCCCCCTTGAGTTGGGAGAGTTGCTCATATTGGGGAAATATAGGAGGTCTGGCCAATTGGTGCTCAGGAAAACCACAGTCAGCCTTAGAAACTCACTCCATAGTTGATCTCAAGGCAGTGCCTGTTGGTTTCAGTGCTGAAGGTTACACAAGGCCAAATCAACTCCTGATTGTGGCACAAAAGAATGGTCTCATGCCATTGGCATTCAATTGCTGAGTTTGGGAAGGCTTGGGGCTCCCACACATAGAATATGATATGGGCCCCTTCTGGGCCTACTAATTAGAAAAAAGAGTCTGTATCTGGTGCCAAAAATGATCTCTTGACAAAGGTCCTCTCTTGCTGATTTTTGGGGAGGACTGGAAAACTTGAGTCCTGAAGGAAAGGGTCTTCGTATCATCCAGGGGGCCACCCCTGCCCAACAGACATAATGTTGTGGATGAGAGCAGAGGGTCTTGGACCCGTTGGTGTGCAGGCACTTCCTTTGCTCCCACAGCATCTTCACATCATCCCATTTAACCTTTACAGCAGGTACACAGTGGATAATATTCCCATTCTATCAATGAGGAAGAGAGTTCAGAGACTATATCCACTGTCAGCAGGGAGAAAAAAGATCTGCTTGAGTCCAGTAGTATTGGCAGAAAGTTGAACTCCAGCTCCTATTTTGTCTCCTGGTCTTTTGGCCAAAGAACTACCTTGGGTCTAAAAGATCAGGGCTAACTGGTTGGAAGAAGTTGAAGTTCAAGACAAGATAAACAAGGGAATGAGAGAGCGCTGGGCTGTTCTAAAATACTTCAGGTCTCCTGAGCCTGGTGAGTAACAGGTAGGACACCAAGGGCTTTGCCAGCAGTGTGTTGAGCTCTTAGTGGAAAGAACTGAAGGGAAAATGGAAGAAACAACCAGAAGATGGAGGAGGTGGAAGTCCAAGAACGGAAGGAAGCTGGTTATGATAAATACCTGCCCGATCTGTGACATTGATCAGGGACTATCCTGCCAGATGTGTGACATCGATCAGGTACTACAGACAGATGAGCTGATAAATAAGAATGTTGTAATCACTGGAGTTTAATAGATGTTCATTATGAATTCAGAGCAAGTGATGCCCAACAAGACTCGTAGTCTGATTTTGTTAACAGATAAAATCTGGACAGGGCAAAATCAAAGCATTAGGGAAATGGAGAAGTTCGTTACTGGCCACCAACTCTGACTACAAACTGGCTTATTGTGGAATGGTTTATGCTGTGCCCCAGGGCTCAGTCCTTGGCCCCTCCTTTGATATTAATGACATATGAGAAGGCTTTTTAATGTTCTACCCATTCCAAAAGAGGATTTGAGGCCATTTACAAAAGAAACAGTACTAGATAGAGTTGTTGATAAGATTTTTTTTTTTTTAGATGGGAGGAGGCGTTAGAGGGAGAGAGAAAATCCCTAGCAGGTTCCATGGGGCTTCATCGCTCAACCTTGGGATCATGACCTGAGCAGAAATCAAGAGTCAGATGCTTAACCGACTGAGCCGCCCAGGCTCCCCTGCTGATCAGCTGATCAGATATTTAGACAACAGGAACTCCTGGGAAGGATGACAATTTAGGATTCAAACAAATATCTCTATAAGCTTTAAAAATAGGCAGAATTTAAAGGTAAGGTTGTTTTCAAAATTGAGATGGATGAGTATGAAGAGAGTTAAGGATTACAGAGCACTGTGCTCTTGTTAACAATTCTTTGTGCCAGTAATACATGTTTATGATGTCAGGAACTGTTAACGTGTCCTCACTAAACTCCAGTGTAGTCCTGGCTGGGGTAGTAGGCACAGATGGCTTAAGATCATTTCGGTCCTCTGTGTCTGTCAGCAATCCTAGAGTGCTCTGTTCCATTATGGTGCTCAAACAGGAGGCTCCCTGACAGACGGTGAGCCCATCTGCAAGAGGAAAACCAAGAACTGGAGGCCCAAAGCTGTGTCAGGGGGAAGAAGCTTGAAGGAGCTGAGAAGACTCAGGGAAAACAGGACACTGCTTTGGAAACTGAAAGGGTTGTCCAGTGAAAGACATTCTATACTTCTCACCCCAGCCAGGCAGACCTACGGCCAATAAGTACATGATAAACTCGAAGCCAATTTCTGGCCACTATGTGTTTATTCTGTTGAGTAAATACTAAACTTTTTTTCCATGCAAGGCCAGTGCTAGATGCTGGAGAGGCTTGGCCCCTTCAAGAAGCTAGTCCAGTAGGGGGTCAGAAATAATGCAGCAGATGTGGGTAGTACTATGAGAGAAGTACTGGGGTCAATCCCCACTACCCGAGAGAGGAATGGTTAATGGTAACTGGGAGAAGTCAGGCAGGGTTGCATGGAGAAGGGGACCCTTAAACTGCGCACTCGCAAGGTGGCTAACAACTGCTAAGGTTTCGGAAGCACTAAATGCCCATGACTGTTCCAAAGTGTTACTTGGATTATCTCGTGTAGACCATCTAATAACTACAAAGTGCATACTTTTGTTTACCCCATCTACAGACTGATGAAACCGAAGCATAGAGTTATTAAATGTTACCTGCCAAAAGCCACATAGCGAAGTGTGTGATTCTGATCCAAGTAGGTTTTGTACTTTTTGCCAGTTTTCTGTCGCCTCCCCTGCGCATTTGTCAGGCAGACAAGGGTGGGGTAGGACACTCCAGGGAAAAGAATCTTTAAGAAAAGACCATCCCAGAATACGATTGCATTTTCAGCTTATACGCAGGTTAAAAAGTACTAGAATTTATGGTTCACAGGGCTCTTGGCCAGAAATCAGCTGGGGGACAAGTGGGAGCCAGAAGGGGAGGGATCCTATAGGCCTTGCCCTCTTCCGGGAATGGGTGACCACTCATGAATTTTAGGCAGAGATGTGGCATGATCAGGTTTGCCTTTTGGAAAGCATTCTGATGTCTGTCCAAGCATGACTAGAAGGGGAGCCCAGGGGCAGGAGTGCAGGTGAGAGACCCGAGTAACAGGAGGAGATGGAGGGCAAGCGGCCAGACGGGACAGTCTTTCTCAAGGCTGAGAAAGGACAGTCCGTGGGCCCTGATGGCAGGTAGAGAAAGGTCTTCCGAAAATGACAGCTGATGGGCAGGATTTGGGTAACAAAGCAGGCTAAAGTGATTGTTAATAAAATTCTACCATTTGTGAATTATTTATCTTTCTCTGCTGGATTGGTACAGGTTCAATAGCTATCTAACAAGGACCCTCACATTCCTTTTTTGTTTTGTTTTGGGGTTTGTTTTTTTATGTTTTGTTTTTCGAGTACGTGAGAAATGAGTGGCATTACTGTTGTTTTCCTAAAATTGCGAATTACACCGGTCTTTTAGACCTGTATGGTACACATGACTTTACGGCAGGTGTGCTGCAGGAAGAGAAAAAGAGGAAACGCTGGCCTGACTGGAGGGCCTCGGCAGTCCCTTCAAGCCTCGAGTTGCTCTAACTTGGCATGACTGCATAGCCAGAAGGTGAGGAGGAAGCTGCGGGAAGTGACATCCCCTCTGATCCTTGGTTTCCATATTTGTAAAATGGAGAACTAATACCTACCTCAGAGTTGTAGTTAGAATTAAAGATGACTTCATTGAAGCACTTCAGATGGGAGACAGTGCTTCTCTCCGTGTCTCCCCCGCCCTCCAGTAGCTGGGAGCTATGTTTGGCTCCGTCTCCCTGACTCACTGGATTAGAATGACTCAGTTCGGTTTCACAGATGCTGCTGCTAAATTAGGGTCTCAGGGAGCCTTCGGGAGGCCAGCTCTGTGAGGAAGAACTGCAGCACTGCCATCCTGCCTGGGAACAGGATAGAAACAGGTGCTGGCTACAGCTCCTGCCTTCCACCTGCTAAGCAGTCTTTCTGTGAGGATCTGCATGATATTATAAGTTACTGATGTATTGGCTTGCTTCCCCTAGGTTTTTTTCCCCTAGGTTTTTTCCCCTCTACTTAGTCCAAGAACATAGCCAAATTCTTTGCGTTTCCTTGCCTTAGTTGCTTTTGCAGGGTGGAAAGCAGAGCATGCTTCTGGAGCCTCTGTAAAAGCTTGAGTGCACTGAGACAAGGCTCAGGGTCACACAGGAAGAAAAGGGGAGGGGGTCCCAGAAGACAAGAAGGAGCAGAAGTCCATGGGGCCTGAATGGCGGGGACCCTGTCCGGATCCTGGATGGGAGGACTTCTAAGGAAGGGACTGCACGGAGTCCCTGGGGAGGAAGGCTGCCGGGTGCCAGGCTCTGGAGAACGGTGTCTGTGCCTGTGGCACCCAGGCCAGGACTGCTGTACTTGCCGGCCCCTGGATGGCAGAGGATGAGGCCTGCAGGGCCCACCCTCAGTACTTTGCATTGTGTGAGATCCCAGGACCTTTTCGTGATCCCAGAAGGGGGACAGATTATTCCCTACCACCCGGCAGGGTGGAGACTTGGTCTGATCTAACTGGATGGAAAGAAAAGCAATGTGGCGTTTCTCTTACACCTGGTTTTATGATTGTGGATCCACACCTGATCTCCTATCCCTCACTGGCTTGGCTCCCTTGCCTCATCCCTGACTCAAGGAGCTTCGCTAGCAAGAGCACAGAAATATATGTAGAGGCAAGAGGGTTGGAGCTCTGCTTGTGACCTGTGATGTGACCCTGAGTAAATTCTTTTTCCATTGAACAGGGAGAGAGAATGAGCCAGAGGGCCTCTGCCTGCTGACTTGAGGATTCTAGTGGGTTTGGCTGAACTAGAGTCCATTACAAAGAGGAAGCCCAGCCCAGAGGGATTAGGTGGCTTCTCCAAGTCTGCAGAGCCAGTAAGAGACAGGGCGGGACTCATGCTCTGGTTAGGGGTTCAGAGCATGAATTCCAGAGCCAGACTGCTTGGGTTCGAATCCTGGCTCTGCCATCTAGCAGCTGGGCGACTTTGGGCAAGCTACTTAAATTATCTGTACGTCCATTTCCTCATCCACAGAACAGGTGTAATATTAGTATCTGCATCAGGGACTCATTTTGAGGATTAAAGTCAACACAATACTAAGCACTGTGGAGTGCTGCCTTATAGTAAGTATTAATGGCAGCCATTAGTCCAATTCCAAGCCCAAAGCAACTCTCACTACCCAAACTTGTTCTTACAGAGCCTGTCACACAGCAAAGGCCCTGTGCCTCTGTCGGTCCAACAGTTACCCCCCTGTGCCCCTGAATCACAGGGCTGGGCTGAAAACAGAGAGCCAGGTGGAAAGGACCGGCTGAGGCCCATGTCCCCAAACCCTTCACAGGAGAGAGAGGGGGGATAAACGAGAGAGCTGTAAACAGAACCGTCTTCCTTCCTTACTCTCAGATCCCAAAATAACATTTGTCTGCTCCCCACCCTACCCAGCTGGCAGAGGTGCAGTCTGAGTAAGGTGCCATTTAAAGATAACCTGGCCCTCCCCGTCTGCCCCACTGGTTGGGCTGGGCTCCCGAGGCGAGCAGTGGCTGCCTGTGACGGGCGCTGCTCCCACAGTCCCCCCAGAGCAGGCTGATCCCAGATGCCACCCAAACCAGCCCAGCTAACCCCTCCTTTCCTGAGGCCCAGGCTGTGCAAGTTCTGCCCAGGCTGCCCTGGGCCTCTGCAAAGCAGAAGCCTGGCATTCTGGGGCAGGTAATCCTGCAAAGGCATTGCTAGAAGAGTGCTCCTGCCTACCAGTAGCTGGGTCCACGGTGAGGCTGATCCCCACTGTCCTTCGCCCACCTCCAGGCCCCTCCCATCAAGAGGACAAACTCGAGAGTCATAGTCTTTCATTTGCACTGAGAGAGAATAAAGCTAGACACCAGGGAAGACCTTATGTTGCAAGAGAGATGTTTGTTTATTTAGGGACAGTGGGAGCCAGGAGATCTGGTTCCTTCAGTCCCCAGCTAAGCCCTGAGACCTTGGCCAACTTTCTGGGGCTCTCCTGGGCCTTGCTCTCCCCAGCCCTGGGTTGCAGGGAAGAATGAGTGTGTCTTTGACACCCTAGAGTGGGTGTAATGAGATTAAATCAATGAGGAAAGGGCTCAGGGCCCTCGGGGAAGAAAGGAATGAGTAATTAGCTATCTGCAGGAGGAGACGGTGCCAGAGGACAGCTGGGAGGAGGAAGACTGGCGAAAGCATGGGACTAACCTGGAGGCAAGTAGGGGAGAGTAATGGAGCTCCCCTCATCTCACAATGGCTCCAAATCCCCCTGAGCCAGACAGCTGGGTGGGGCAGGAGCCTCTGGAATGGAGGCTCCAGGGCCTTGGTCCTGGGAAGGCAGGAAGGCCCTGGAAGAGTCCAGGCCTACTCAGTCAGCTCTGATTTGGAAGAAGAGCAAGAAGGGGGTGGGGAGGAGCCCTGGGCTGGTCATTCAGCCCAGTAGTGAGATGACTCAGCAGCTTGCTCACTCCGGTACCACAGCCCCGGGGCAAAGCCCAAACTGGGTCACAGGCTTGGTCCTAGCCCCTCCTCTCTGCCCGGCTTCCACTGCCCTTCCCCACTCTAAATATCCCGCTATCTTCCCACACAGACTTCTGCTGGGGATTAAGGGCTGGGTATCAAAGTTTCCCCAAGTATGCGTTCTGTATGCCAAGCATAGCGCGGAGCATTTTAGACATGTTACAGGAGAGGCAGGCCGTGGACTGCAAGGGCCTGGACTTAGAAGTCATGGAAGCCCACCTCCAAATCCCAGCCGGGTAAGCTGGGAAAATTCGCTTCCAACCCCTGTACGATGGGACAAATTCATTTGCAGTGTTAGCTGCTAGCATTACTATTATCCTATTCCAGGGCCCCAGGAGAGAGCCTGCTACTGGCAAAGTTCATATTTTGTCTCATCTGATCACAGATTAATTACTGTCTGCCTCTCCTTTTCCAGGAAAGTGCCTCTGCCCCTCACTGGGGCCCGGGAGACAGGCTTGGTAAGGGGAAGAGGCTCCTGTGTGCCCTGAGCGGACGGGGTACAATGAAGCCCCTTCGGGCCTAAAGATTTGGACAAACCCTTTCTCAGGTGCCCCAGTCCCTCCCCATTGCTCCCACCCAGCCTCTTCCCACTCCTGCCCAGTTCCATGGCCTCTGTCAGGACGCAGGTCCATTACTGTGACAGAGCTAGCCTCAGCCCTCCATCTCCAGGCTCTCCCGATCCTGCCGGTTCTCCCCCCTGGCCCACCCCCAGCCCTGCCCCACCCTCTGTCCCAGTCTCAACACTCCTATCCTGTGGACTGAAGAGTTTCCCTAGAATTTTACAGTAGAAAATCACTGATGGTGGGAGAACTTGGTGTCGTGGTCAGCTGGAAGCCTCAACCAGGGTGAGATTTGAGGAGGACCAGTTGGAGAAGAAACGAAAAAAGGAGAAAAGCAGGAAAGTAGCTAGAAAAGGATGAATTTCAGGAAGCATGTGGCTTGGCTTTGTTTGGTCTTGTTTTGTTTTGTTTTACCAGGAGAGACTTGAGATTTCGGTTTTGCTCTGGGGAAAGAAGCTGATAAGAAACTAAGAACACTGAAGAGAAGAGATAATGCGGAGAGATCAGATGGGGTCTAGAGTACATGTGGGAGGATCAGCCTTGGACAGGAAGAGAGACAACCCTCCCTCTGAACTTCATTCAACCTACAAGAATTACCTACGGCAACGGCTGGGTGACAGCAGTGAATACAATGACCACATGGTCCTGCACTCATGGAGCTTGGGCAGTAGGAAAGAAGACAGGGATGGCGAAGGGCACACTGTCCAGGGGGTGGAGAAGTGTGAGACGTTTCTCTTCATCCTTCTGCCGCTGTGTTTGTGACTGGGGCCTGCACGGGGACATAAAATCACTTGCCCCCCATCAGACTACCAGCAACTTCCTGGGACAGGAACTAATGCTCTCCTTACTCCAGCTCTCAGGTTGGGTGTGCTAGCAACCACAGGGGCCCAAGACAGGGCAGCTCTTCTTCTGGCTGCCCTTCCCTAACTTATTTAGACTCTGCTGGACCTGCCCTGCCCTGCCCTGGTTCCCTCACCTCCGAACACCAGAGAGACTCACTGTCCACGCCCTCTGCTGTTGGGGAGGGGGAATCCACCTGGATTTAGAAGACTTGGGCCCTGCTGTTGTTGCCTCTGCCATTTACGGTCTGTATTATCTCTGGCAAGTCCTGCAAGTCCCTTGAGCCCTAGTTTGTCCATCTGTAAAATAGGATTGATGACTTCTGTCAACTTCTGAGCTGTCAACTTCTGAGCTCCCGGAGTTGTGGAGACCCTCCAATGAGGTACATGTCAAAGTGCTTTGTAAAGGACTGCACCATGGCCACGGCTTGAGGCAGCCTTTTGATTTGATCCCTGGAGTGATAGGCAGTTCCTGGTCAGGGTAGCCCAGGTAGCAGGGGGCACAGTCACTGACAGTATAAATTTGTAAGGGGATTAATTGGCTCCCCCCTCCCAAAAAAAACACTGTCTCCACTGTAATTAACTCTTGCCCTCCCTATGCTCCCCTAGCCAATGCAGTATTCTGCAGGACTGCTTTGTGAAAAAAGGGGTTTTTGAAGTGTCTAGCTGGATGGGCTCCAGGCGGCAGCCTATCATCCGGACTGATGAGGCCACAGGCTGGTGCATGCCAGCGCTGTCCTCTCAGAGGGGGAAGGGGCCATCTCGGGGAGCCAGTGCAGCTGGCAGAGCCCAGGCCCGTGGGGACAAAGCGGCTCTGAGCCGCCTCTCAATGGGTGCCTGTGTTCTGGGAGTGGGGGCGGGGTGCCCTCAGCCTCTTTTCCCTCTTCTCCCGCCACCCCCCCCTCCCGCTCCCCGCAGGACTTCCTGGGCTGGACACTGGGGCAGAGGAGGTCCTGCACAGGGGAAGGTCGGCCCTGCCCCTCTAGGGTTGGCCCATGTGCCTGGGCACTCGGAGATGGCACCAGGATCAGGGCTTCTGGGGTCCGGGATACTGACTGGGCCCGGGCCGGGGGCGGGCCCAGGGCACGGCCAGGCCTCCCCGGCTGCAGAGTCCGGCGGCCCGCTGTGGCCACGGTGGCTCGGGCGGGAGGAGCCACCGTGGAGCCGGGGGCGGGGGCGCAGGACAGTACCCGGCTGGGTGAGGGGGTGGGGAAGTGTGAGCCCGGGCTGGGTGGGCGTCGCCGGTGGGTGGCCGCCTGGGCCGGGCGCGGAGCGTGGGGGGCAGGGTTACCGCGGCCCGGGCCTTAGTCCCGCCCTCGCAGGAGGCGGGAGAGGAAACCGAGCCTGGCGGCGGGCTGGGCCCCGCAGCAGCTCCCGCCGGCCGGCTTCGTCCTGCGCTCCCTGCTCCAGGCGGCCGGTCTCGGCCGCGCCCAAGCCCCGCCATGCGGCCCCCGGGGCTCTGCGGGGCCGCGCCGCTTGCCGCGGCCGCCCTCCTGGTGCTGGGGGCTCCCCTGGGTAAGGGGGTGGGCAAGGGGCGCCCCTGGGTGCTGCCGGTGCGCAGGGAGCGGGAGGAGACCCGGCCGGGAGGCTGGGCCATGGGAAGCTGACCCGGGGCGCGGGGGTCAGCCCCGGAGGGAGGCCGCTGGGGCTCAGGGGCGGAGCCCCTCAGGGTGGTGACGAGGGGCAGCTCCCGCGTCCCGGGAGCTGGCGGGCTGGGAGCCTCGGGGAGCGGGGCTAAGGGCGGACGGAAAGCTGGCCTGGTGGCCATGCCCCCCACCCGCCCCCCCCCCACCCCGCCCTCAGCGCTGGCCCGGGAGGACTGCCTGTGGTACCTGGACCGGAACGGCTCCTGGCATCCAGGCTTCAACTGCGAGTTCTTCACCTTCTGCTGCGGGACCTGCTACCAGCGCTACTGCTGCAGAGACCTGACCTTGCTCATCACCGAGAGGCAGCAGAAGCACTGCCTGGCCTTCAGGTGGGCCCCCGCCTCCACCCACGCCCCCTCCATCCTCCTCTCAGGAGGCCTGCCCGGGCCTCCCCTCCTCCGTGTCTCCCTCCTGCCCCTCTCCATGTCCACCTCCACAGCCTTAGCCCAGACCTAGCACTCAGCTTGGTGACAAAGTGGGTGTTGGTGCAGGGGCCCGGAAGGTCCAGGAAGGGCATATTAACCGTCTTGCGCTCGGTGGAGGGTGGGTACAGGGTGCAGCTTTGTGGAAGAAGCTCTGGCAAAAAGGCAGGAGACTTGGGTTTGATTCCCAGGTCCACGTCTCCGCAGCCGTGTCATTGTGGGGAAGACTCATCCTCACATGGGTCATTATTTCCTCTTCAAAAAATGAGGGGGTTGCCAAAATTAGTGGTTTCAAACTTCTTTTTGAAAGGGACTGCTAATACATGAAAGGTATAAGGAGACTGCATGATTGGGGGGTTGGAAGAAAAGGGCTCTAGGTTATTTCTAAGGTGTCTTTCAGTGCTAACATGTTCAAAGTCTTACCAATTAAGTTGTAGATGTAGGGGCGATGAAGTGGGGAGCACACTACAAATCCCGGCATGCCTCACACTAGCCAGCCAGGCAGCATGGTCTTCTGGGAAGTGGAGGTCCCCTAAGATCTCCTCCACAGGGTCGGGGCAGAGCCCCTCAAGGAACCCCAAATCTCAGCTTGCTGTGGCCCCCTGCTGGCCAGGAGTTGGAGCACAGTTTTATGGCCACCATAATGAGGAGTCCCTCCTAGAGTGCTGGAAGGTGAGGGGACCTGTTCTTTGTCTAAAGTCCCAAGACCATAGCAGGCATCGCCTCGGCCGTGATCCTCTTTGTGGCTGTGGTGGCCACCACCATCTGCTGCTTCCTGTGTTCCTGCTGCTACCTGTACCGCCGGCGCCAGCAGCTGCAGAGCCCATTTGAAGGTACGTGCAGTCCTGGGCCCGGGGGATCAGATAGGCTGGGCCGAGCCCCATGATGGGCACCAGAGAGTTCCAGGATGTAGGACCTGTGTACACACACCTGCCAGCCTGCAACCCCAGAAACAAGAATGTGCGGGTCTGTGTGTGAACAGCGGACGTGAGTATGTGGGCGGACGTGCGTGCATGTGAATGTTCAGCTGTGCGCGGCAGGCCGTCAACAGTGGTGCGGTGCAGTGGGTACGTGCGTGCACGTGACTCTTGGAAAGGATGTGGGGGGGGGGTCTGTAGTGGTGAGCATTAATTGCATGTACTCTAGTGAACGGTGGACTGTGTGCCTGAGTGTTGGCATGTGACCGAATATATATGCCCAACCCCGAGGGGCATGGGCATGGTGTCGCTGCACGGGGGCTCAGTGTGGGAGGAAAAGGCTGAGGGCGGACCCCCCCTGAGTGGCAGCTCTGCTAGATTAGAAGATACCAGACCCTGGAGCCGCCCTGTGCTTGCCTAAGTGGGACATTTCCCAAGCTGTGTTCTCTGGCTCATGAGGCTTCTGAAACCTGCTGAGGGGAGCAAACCTGCTAAACACAGACTGACCCGCTGGGACCGCGTGCACAGCTCCCCGCTCAGCTCTGCCAAGCAATGTCTGGGAGGCAGAGGCAGCAGGTGGCCAGCTGGGAGCCCCCAGAACAGAGAGCAGGGGCCCAGGGGGGCTTACATCGGTTTCAGGGCAGGAGGAGGCGGCGGCTTCACCATGGAGGTGGAGTTCTGAATGCTGGTCCTTGTCCCCCACCTAGGCCAGGAGATTCCAATGACAGGCATCCCAGTGCAGCCAGTGTACCCATACCCTCAGGACCCCAAAGCTGGCCCCGCACCCCCACAGCCTGGCTATATGTACCCTCCTAGTGGTCCTGCTCCCCAGTACCCACTCTACCCGGCTGGGCCCCCTATCTACAACCCTGCAGGTAAGTGAGCCATCTGGAGCTTCTTGCTCCTGCCTGCCCCCCACCTCTGCGCTGGGACCTTCCCTACCCCTTTCTCGCCCTGAGTCCCTCTCCCAGACTTCTACCTCAGCTGGAAACATCCAGGCTACCTCTTCCCCATGGATCCTTCATGCCTCTGGAAGTGGGGTCACTTCCCATACTCCTATGCCACCCCTGATCCTTATCCTGTCTGCTTGGCTTTCAGCTCCTCCCCCCTATATGCCACCACAGCCCTCCTACCCAGGAGCCTGAGGAACCAGCTGTGTCTCTGCTGCCCCTTCAGTGATGCCCCTCTCCTGTATCTGCATCTGGCCCTGGGGGTGGGCAAGGGTCCTCTACTCAGCAGGCCCCAGACCAAGCCAAGCCCTGGGTCCTACTGGTGATGGAGCCCCAGGGACGTAGACCAGGAGCTGAGCTGGAACTTGGCCGTGAATGAGGGGTGGGTGGGAAGGGCTTGGGGTCAGTGGACTATTTTTACCTGGGACAAGAGAAGGACATGAAAGCCTGGGTCAAAGCCCCTGCTTTCTCAGAGTCCTGCGACTTCCAAGATCCCAGCCAGGAACGCTGGGGCCCGCCCTGTTTGCTCACTGTGGGCTCCATCAGTAGTGGGCAGAAGCCCTGCTCCTGGCTGCCCCACTGGCCAGGGCTCCAACTGCTGGATTAAAGCTGTAAAGCTGTAACTCATGTCGGTTGCCTCATTGGGCCCATCCACACCTTCCAAGAGCTCTGCCTTCAGCTGGGCCCTGAGGGCTGCCAGTGCTACATCCTCCCAGCCGGCAAGGCAGGTGCCAGGGCTGGAGCCCAGCGCCACCCTCCCCCGCTTCCACAAGCAGAACCACCTCAGGCTGAGGGCCCCTTGAGCTGGTTCCCAAAGCCAGTGAGGTGGATTTTGCCACAGCTGGGAAGAGGGTGCTCATTTGCGTTACAGGCATTCTGCACTAGGGGTCAGGCCCCTGTGACATATAAGGCACTGCAAATTTTTACAAAGGCACCTTCCCCTTTTCGGGGACACTTAGCTTCACATGTGGGTTCTGACACTGGCTGACCTTGGGGGTGTCTTTGAACCCAGTTTTCTCAGCTATCCCATGGAGATAATGCCTCAGGGCTGTCATGTGGGTGAAATACGAAATGAAACTGTGACCTCTGTCCGTCCTTCCTGATCAGAGAGGTTCTAGGAGCCAAGCGGAGAGACTGGGCCACCCAAGAGGTTGGTGCAAGGTGTTCCTGTTAGCTGCCTTGGGTCATCAGGGGACCCTAAGACCTTAGGCCCCTGCTGAGCCAGGCAGACGCCCCCTACCCTGGGAGATGCCTATGCACCAAGCTCTACCCTCACCTTTGCCTGGTTCCCTGAGGACCTGGGTCCTTGTGCTCTCAGGACTTGTCTGGTGACAGATGTAGGGAAAGAAGTTTTACAGTTTTTAATTCAAGTGGGAAAAGTGCCATCCTGGCTTGGCAACACCACCACCAACCAACGGTCTCCTTTCCCCAACACCCATATGCTCAGCCCCTCCTTCCCTCAGCCAAGGTCCTCCAGCCCCTGCAGCCTTGTCTTCCAGCTGGGTTCTGCATATGGCCACTGTGCTAACCATGCCCTCTGGCACCCATATACTGTCAGGGAGGCTCTTGTCACACAGGCTGGAGTGGGGGAGCTCCTAGGCCAGCGTCAGAAACAACTATCGGCAGAGCCAATCACAACTACGGGCAGAGCCTCTGTCCGTGGATTCACAGCTTCCCCCCTTCCTAATGAAATTTTCGTGGATTCACAGCTTCCCCCCTTCCTAATGAAATTTTCAGGGGGGCCCAAAAGGCCCCTGGACCTGACCAGAGAGGGAAAGCTAATGCTGGGGTGGGAGGCAGGGGGGACGGAGCTGGGGCCACAGCTGCAGATCCACCTTCTCTCTTGAGGGTGGGGGCAAGAGGTGGGACCTGGGGTCACAGTGTCCTGGCTTCCAGTCTGCAAATTCTGCCTTCATTCACACTTCAGGAGAGACGGTGACCAGCTCATCTCAAGGTTTGGAACCACCAGTCAGTCTCTCGCTCGCTTGCTCTCCCTCTCCCCCTCTCTGGAAGCTGAGAGGGGAAGGAGGTTGGCAGGATAAGGTTTGAGTTTCCCTAAGGAAAGAGGTGTAAATGAATGCATGGCCATGCCCGGCTGAATTAATTATCCTTAAATCCGCAATCTGGGGCCAATTAAAGATTGCTTTGTTGACTGGGGTGGAAGACAGGTTTACCCCAGTCATAGCTGCCTCCCAGAAGGTGGAGTCTCCCCTCCCCAACATTTCCAATTAACTCTGCAAAGCACTGAGAATTCTAAGGAAAAGGGGGAGACTACGAGAGAGTGGGGCATTTCACATGCCCCGAGCAGAGAGAAGGCCCCTCTCACATCCTCTACCTCTATAAATAGGGCAATCCCCTGAATCTCTCCCAAAACTCTCCGTCCATGATCCCATCTTATTTGCTTACCACCAGGGGAACGGCCAGCAGGAGAACAGAGCTGTAGCTGCCCCTCCCCATCTTCAGCAGCTAGCACCCCTGAAAACCAGGCAGGCACCCTACAAAGGGGAGGAAGATAGAGGGCGGGAGGAGCAGTGACCCTCAAGGATTTACACTCCAGTGGTGTAAATGGGGTCCTGCTGAGCTGCAAGGGCACATCAAGGACCGCAAGGGGAGGTCTGGGAAGCACAGACGGAGAGCAGCACTCCACACAAAAGCAGGGCACCTCTTTCTTGGGCGCCTGCTCAGGCAGGGGAGGGGGAGGCTGAGCTCAAAGGGTGAGGGCAGGGGTTCAGATGCAGGGAGAGAGCTGGAGCAGAGGTGAATGGGGATACAAAGGGGCCCCAAGAAAGGAAAGGGGGGCACTGTCGGGGGAGAGGAATAGAATGGAGGCAGCTGGGACAGCTGACACTTCAGGCAAGGGGTGAGGGAGGGTCGGCGGGATAAAGGAAGAGGAGTTAGAGGCCTGGGGAAGGTGCGCTGGCCGGGCAGAGCGGGCAGAGCGGGCAGAGCGCAGGGCAAGGGGCTGGGAGTGAGGCATCACCAGGCTGGGCTCCCGGGCCAGCAGCCTGGCCCCCGCACCACAGGAAGGCCAGAGCGGTAGCTGGGCCCCAGGCTGGAGACCAGCCTGCCGAGGGCTGGGGAGCCCATGGTACAACAGGCTTGGTCGTCCTGGTGGTCCGGAAGCCACGCTCAGTGGGTGACTGGCGTCCAGATCTTTGCTTCTTAAAGAAGGCCGCCTGAGTGGCCACGGTCCCAACTCACAGCACCTGTGACTGAGCCCCTCACTCACTGGCGTCCTGCGACAGGAAGTGGGGCGGGGAGGCGCCCGCCATCCCACCCACGGCCAGCGGCCAGCGCCAGAGCCTCGGTCCTACCTAAGCCCGGGGTCCCCCAAGGCCTGCGAGGGCGGGGCCCGCAGGTGAGAAGCCGGTGCAACAGTGGGTGGCAGCGGGCCCCAAAAGACGCCCTCCGTTGGGGGAACAGGAGAGCCAGGATGTGGCCCCTGGAAACGAAAGGGGCCAGCCGGGGCAGGGTTGGCGGGGGGAGGGGGGACGGACCCCCTTGGCCCAGGTCCGTAGGATGCAGTCGGCGGCAAGAGACGTAGTTTGAATACGTGTGCATCAACTTGTTCAAGTCATTTGCTGCCTTTGAATCTCATTTTCTTCCCTGTAAAAGGCGGGTGCGGATGAAGATAGATCCTTTCCTGCTCTTGCACCCTGGGTTTCAGGAAGGGAAACCGGGCAGACGGGCGCCTGCGGAGGCCGATGGGGCAGGTGGGCGTCGGTGGGTGCACTACTCCGCAGAAACGCGGCCCCGCGAATGTGGCCCGTTTCCCGCGTTCGGCCGACCCCTGAGCACACGCAGCCGCTCGATGCCTGGCGCTCCCCGCCCCCCGCCCCTCCCAGGCAGTGGGAAGGCGCCCCACAGCCCGGGCGCTGCATCCCATCTGCCCACCTTCCCTGGCCCCCAGCGCAGCTCCGCCGCGCCCCTGGCACGGCGGGAGAACCCGGGACGCGGACGGCCCGCAGGTGGCGCTGCGCTCCTGCATCAGGTTCTAAGGCACCAGAGGAAGGATGACCTCATCAGCCCCCAACCCCCAAGAGGGGTGTGTGTGTGGGGGGGGGGGGTTGGTTAGGCTTTCAGTGTTTTCCTGAGGCACCATTATGAGTCTCAGTTCAGGAAGGGGAGGAGGGGGACCTCTCATCAGAAGTGGCTCTAAGAGCGGGAGATCTATCAGAGCTCTCTTTTTATTAGCTGTGTGATCATGGACTTGTAGGTTAATCTCTCCAGGCTGAACTTTTATCTGCAAAATGCTCTCCAGAATTGAGAGAGCACCTGAAGCAACCTGCAGCATCTTGCCAAGGCCTGGCAACCACAGACACAGGGTAAATGGAAGCACTGGTTGCACTCAGCTCCAGCTAACACCCTTTGAGGTCCAGGAGGCAGCAGGTGTCTGCCCCCCGCCCCCGGGGGGGCCCAGCCCTTGTTTCGGTTTTTGGGGCGGACAGGCAAGTGGGTAGAGGGGAAGGGGCGCAGAGTGTCCCCTGGGATCCAAGCTTTTTGCTCCCACAACTAGCCTGCCTCTGTGTTTGGTCAGACCTAGCACAGCAATCCTCCTTCATAGCAGGGACGCCCCCTCCTTCACCCCAAAGATGGTGAAACTGCCACTGCTGTGCTCCCTGCTGTTGGACAAAACCCCGAGACAGAGAAAACCGCCAGTGACCCAGACCCAAGGTGGCTATTCCACAGTGCCAAGGGGTGCCAGTGCCTTTAACGCAATCAAACCAGGAAGATGCTTTTGATATACACCAGATGAAGGGCACGGGGACACTGTTAGGTCAGGAGAGCAGCCTGCAGCTGGAGTGGGGGATAAGATGGGTCACTGGGCACATTGGTGGGGGGGCTGCTCCCCAAATGGTCATTCACTTCTCTGCCTGCTCAGAGATGGCTGCCTTCCTGGGCTTGTGACTGCTGTGGGGAGCTGGCCCCAAGCCCACAGTTAGGAAGAGTCATGGAATGAGCATCCCCTGAACATGCCTAATATAGCCATCCCAGGGCCCTGTGCTTCACTCTGCCCTGTCACCCCTGAAAGCGGCTCTGGCTAATGACTCCAGGCAACAGGAATGGTCAGGAGCAGAGACCCTGGCTAAGGCCTAGTTTCCTTGGCCTGGTCAACCCGGTCAGTGGGGAGCCCTCTACCCAGGCTTGAGGCTTTCCCTCAACGCTGGACTTTTGGCAGATATGAACTTGTTATGTGGTTAACTCAGGATGGCACGGCAGGGAACCTGAGCTTCTTGAGTCCTCCATGGGGCCCAGGGTGAGCATCAGGACCCTCAGTACAGTACAGAGGTGGGGCACAGTCATTCACAACTAAAGGCTTGTATATATTATCAAAATCTTACGGAAAAACAGATACACAGCTATTTATACAACAGCAGGTAGGTGTGAGGGAAATGTCTGCTTTGGCATCAAACCTTCAGGACCAGTTGCTGTCTGCCCCTCTCCTCCCAGCTGGAGCCCACTCCCCACCAGGCCAGCTGCCCCTGCCATGTCCTCTGATTAGCCCAGAAGGGGTTTGAGGGTATCCTCAGCCCTGCCTCCTTCTGCCCTTGGGCCCGCATGCGCTTCTCAATCTTCTACCATTGTCCCACACACAGGGCCACGGGCCCAGCAGCTTTGCCCCAAGGGCTCCTCAGAGGCCTGAATCCTGGCCCTGGAGGGCAGTGGGGCTGGGCTGGTCATGTGGTCCTGGGGGGACATCGTCCCTGGATCACAGGCCTTTTGAAACTTGCCAGTTACTTGGGCCCCAGGCATGGCATTCTTCTCAGTGATACGCTAAAAGGACTCTTCTTGTCCAGAAACCTCAGCTCCAGGTATAAAAGAAATTTTTGGAGAGCCTCAGAGACAAGAAAAGGAAAGTGAGAAGAGAGAAGGCATCCTTCCTTGAGTGTGGCCAAGTCTCATGTTCTCCCATGGCAGAGGAGGGTCATCCACAGCAGGTCAGCCAGGGGTGGGGTGGGCGGGGTCTGTGCGGCCCTGGGAGGCGAGGCTGGGGCAGCCTTGGCATGGGCAGATGGTGCCCCCTGGCAGTCTGGTCCTACTGAAGCAGTTTGGGCACCTCGACCTGTAAGGGCAAAACAGAGACAGTTTAGAGAAAGGAGCTCAGCAAAGGAGCCTCTGGAATTCGTCTGGCCTCCCTTCCTTCTGGAAACCAGACCCCCCATAGATGTCTGTGGAATGAATAAATGAGCTGTGGACACAGATGAAGCATTTTTCCTTCTCTGTAAAAACTGGATGTCATCAAATGACCACTAGCATTACAACTGAGGTTGTCCTTTATGTCGCGGTGTCTAGCCCCAGATGATGTTGTGGGGCTAGGGTTCGCTGCTGCCATCCAGTCCGACGGGCCGATGACCATGGCCTCTGTTGCCTGAGGTGGAGGGAGGGGAAATTTTGAGGAGCAGGGTCTCTAGGGATGGCTCATGTGTCTGGGGCACTGATTAGTCACAGGGGAGACCCTCCCGAGGGCTGAATCTCCCAAAGACCTTTGGGATACACTGATCAGTAGGACTTGGCTGGTCCTCAGAGAGAATTCATAAAAGGGAGATCATTTTTGCTCTGGGAAGAGGGGAGAGAAGACTTAATGGCAGGATCAGAGGCAGAACTACTAGACAGAGACTGTTTCTCCATTTCTGGGAGACCCTGGTTTAGCTGCAGGGTGGTGAAGTTACGGGCATGGAGTGAGAGGCTAAAGGAACTCCTTACAGGAAGGAGAGAGTCCCCCTCTAATGGACACCGGTGCGGCCTGCCCAGAGGCAGGGGGATGGCTGCGATGGCCGGAGGTGCCACACGGGCGCTGCAGTCTGTCCACGGCCTGCAGCCTGACATGGCCCGCTCTGCCCCCGTTCCCCAGGCAGGCTCCCCTCTCCTCCAGCCCTGCTGGCCCAGGCCCGCGACTACTTAACTTCTTGAGCTGCTTGAGGTTGCTGGAGCGAATGGCGGCCAGTAGCTGGTCACGGGAGTTCTTCTCCTGGACGGGGAGGACTTTGTCTCCCATCTTCCTCTGGGTGGCTGGTGACAATGAGTTCTTCAGGTTCTCCATGATTAGGGGCGGGGCCAAGGGAGGCGGGGGTGGGGGCGGAGCAGCTGGAGCGCCCCCTTTCTTGGGCGAGTTCTTGGGCGAGGCCTTTGGAGATGGCTGGGGGGAGGGTTTTGGGGAGCCTTTGGCCAGGGCCCCGAACTTGGGCACCTCCAGCAGATCCTTCTTCTCGCCGCCAGCCTCCTGGGCCTGCCGTTGCTCCTGGAGCCGCTTTTGTCGCTGTTTGTCCATGTTGCGGCTGAGCAGGTTGGTGACCGTCATCCGGGGCCCAGCCAGCTCGAAATGGTAGCCCAGCTTCAGCAGGGTAGTGTTCTCCTTGAGCAGCTTGGCGATCTCCATCTCGGTCTTGCCGCCGCAGATGTGCCGCTGGTTGTGGAAGCGGAGTTCCGTCAGCGTGTTGTTCTGGAGGAGGGCCCGGAAGATGGCCAGGATGCCTTTGCCCGTGATGTGGTTAGAGTCCAGGTTCAGGCTGGTGATGGTCTTGTTGGCCTTGAGCATGATGGCGATGGCGAAGGCCACGTGGTCATCCGCGCGTGTGTTGGCCAGGGCAAACACCTTGACCACCGTGTTGAACTCCAGAGCCTCGGTGAACCGGACCAGGATCTCATTTGTGATACAGTCTGAGTTGTTGACATTCACCTCGGTCATCTCTGGGTCATTGTTCTTCACTCTCTCCAGGGGCTCATCAAATATGCTGGGAGCCGCTTCCTCCTCCGCCTTGGCAGGCCCCTCAGAGGGCTTGGTGGGGCAAGCCGGGGCTGGTTTCTCCCGCGCTTGGGTCTTGTTCTCTTCGTTGGGCTCCTTTTCACTTACGGACTCATCTTTTTTCACTTGCTCTTCCTCCCTTTTTGTGTCTGTGTTCCCACTTCCTCTTTTCGTCCGCTCACCCCCTTTCTTGGTGTCTGCGTTCCTACTCTCCCCTTTTCCCTTCCCGTCATCCTCTCTGTTGTTTATCTCCTTCAACTCTCTCTTCTTGTCCTTGTCTCTGCTCGGCCCTGCGCTCCTGTCACTGCCTGTCTTCTCGTCCTCCTTCCGTGGGGCTGCTGCCTTCTCCTCTCCTTTCCCGTCCGTCCCTGCCTCCTTCTTGTCCACGGCAGCCCGGACCCGGCCCTTGTCAATGCCCCTGATGAGCTTCTCCTCCTTGGGCTTCGCTCCACTTTTGCCATCAGCTTCATCTTTGTCTCTTGAGAAGCTTTTCTTTAAACCACCCCTCTTTGGCTCCTTCCCCAGGTCTGAGTCCCGTCTGGGGCCCAGGGGTTTTTTGCTGGCATCTCTGCCCCTTTCCTCTCCGTTCTTGGCATCTGTCTTGGTCTCCACTTGCTTGCTTTCCTAAGAATTTAGAAAAGAAAAATAAACATGAAGAGCTGGCTACAGAGGGAGAGGAGTGAGTATGGGGACAAGTGTGGGGAGCGTTTATATAACTGCCCTGGAACCTCCAAAGGGCAATGTCCATTGAGAACACCCTACGGGGATCTGGAATTCGAGCTGCAGAGAACAGGCTGACGTCAGACTCAAGAAAACCTCAGGGTCGTGAGGGGCCCAGATGAACACCTGAGGGGCTTGTGGCAGGTCCTTCCCCGGGGGGTTCTCAGACCCAGAGCTGCCCTTTTCCGTCATGGGTGAGTTAGCAGGAATGCTTCCAAGTGGTGCCTTGCTGAGCCACGTTGGAAGCGGAGGCAAGAGGAAAAATCACTTATACTGCTTCTGTCTTTATTTAAAATTTTGAATTTTTGGTTGTCATGGATTTTTTTTTTGGCATTAAATTCAATTTTTAAAAATATCAGATCACTGAGCTTTTGGGTGCCCCCTTGCATTCTCTGGGTAGGCGAGTGCCTCACATGCCTCACCCTAGCGCTGGCCCTGCTTCCAAAGGTGAGGTAGGTCAATGGTCCTCAGATGCTGGAATTTTACAGCTAATACCTTTTCAAAGGAATAAAAAAGTTGGAGGGACCAACAGAGGGCTGCTAACATTTTATTTTACCGATTAAAGATATTTATAAATTTGATCTACCATCATTCTCTCATTGAAACAAGAAGGAGCTTACAATAAAGGTAGACATTAACAGAATAAAGCCCATACCTTTACGTCAGATATGGATAGCTTTTCGAAGAGCCCATAGTATTGTCCTTATTTTTTTAGTAAAAACTTTGTTGAGGACCAGCACCTTTCTGTAAGGAGCCCTGGAGTCCACTGAGTGAGCTGACCTCAGGAAGACTCTGCCAGATTCCGGATCTAGGATTCTGTGACTCTGCATGAACCACACGGACACTGAGAAATTGTTGAGGGGGCCTGGAAGGGAGTCAGCTGAGTTGCATTAAAGGTTTGAATTTTATGCGCAACATGGGCCGTCCTGTACTTCTGTGGGGCCCTGTGTCTTCTTCCACGAAGTTGCAGAAAGTCTGAGCCTTATTTTGAGAGTACTTGCTTCCTACCCCCTTCAGAAGAGCCAAAGAAGCCTCAGGATTGCCTAAAATTAGATCTTAAACTGTCCAACTATGATAGATACCCTGGAGCAACTGGGACCTCAAGGAATGTCCTTCCTCAAGGTTTTTTTGTTTTGTTTTTTTTAAAAGGAAGAGACTATGGCCTGATTATTAGAAAGGTTTTCTTTCTTTCAAGAGTGTCTGGTTGGGGTGTGGGAGGCACCCCGGCCCTCCCAGCTTCCTCACCCCCACCCTGCCGGGACGGAATGGAGAGCTGGTTGGTCCTATGGAAACAGTTTGTACCTGCACCACAAACACATGCCATTGGGGACCAGCCCCAGGGTTTATTTAGCAGCAAAAGTCCTTGGCTCCTCTGCTAGAATCACAACAGGCAGCCAAGGGACACAGGGCCTGGTGAGGGAGGGCCGAGGAATGTGCCCCTTCTCTCCTCCTACCCCATGGGGGCAGTGCACGGGGGGCACTCTCTGGGGCTTCGGTGGTGGAGCAAGGGCCAGGGGATGCCCTCTCACACTTTCTCTGGCTCCCAGAGAACTGGATTTGACCCTTCAGATCACCCTTGCAGTGATGGTGACTTTACTGTACCTTGATTTGAAAGGAAGGGGAGGCTTGGAGTATGCAAACAGAAGGTGAACAAGGAGATCCAATGGGTCAGCCCCTCTAGGACACTCCTAACATCTGCCCCCAGCTCAGCCAGGAAATTCCAGCCCACCCCAGCTCAGAGTGGTTTCTTCTCAAATTTCATCCACTTCAGGAGCATGGAGGTGAGAACTGGGTGCCACAGCCTCTCCAGCGAGTCCCGCCCAAGCTCCAGAGTTCGGGCCCCCAAGGCAGGGACTCCCGCCCTCCCCTTCCAAATGCACGCCCTTGGGGATTTCTCAGCGCCCACCGTGCAGTGCCCAGCTACCCTCTGCACAGTTCCCACGCCGGACACAGGCCTCACTTAGAGGGAAATTGGGAAGCCAGAGAGAGATTAACCAGCAAGTTCAGGAAAAACTGGGTTTCAGTTCTGACCGGCTCGCCAGCAGCTGCCAAGTCAATGTAATCTTCTCCAGCCTTGCCCATTAGGGGCAAGGCACTCCTCTCCACCTGCCTGGCAGAACCTCCAGGTGTGCCAAGCTGCCCCTGCTGCCCCCAGGACCTTGCTCCGCAGCGGCCTCCTCTCCCAGTCAAACCCATCCGGCTTTCCGACCAGGGCTCCCATTCAGAACCTTCCCCTGCTCTCTCAACAGGACTCCTTTTCCAACATTTTAACCCTCTCTCTGCCCTGACACCCTAGATTCTGACCTGCCCCCTTGGTCTTCATCCAGGACTACTCCCCCCTCCCTCTTAGGGTACTCCCCCTACACTGGGGTCCTAGTTGGCTTGGATCTGTCATGTGTCTGTTCTTGAGGAGGTGTTCCAGCCCTTTAAAAAGAACCTAATGAAAAACATGCGGGGCGGGGGAGGGGGGAAAGCTGATTAATCATGGGTTTCCTCCAAATAGCCAGGAATGAGTGGGGCTGGGGCTTGTTGCAGCTCCTGCAGCCCGGAGAGCTCAGATGTTGCCTTAAAAGGAGAAGGAGCCCAGCGTCCTCCCAGGGCTGAGATTTCTGGTGAGCGAGCTCCTCAGCACATAGCAGAGCTGCCTCCTTCTTGCTTATCTGAAAGGGAGTCCAAGCCAACTTCTTTAGCTTCTAGAACTGGTGGTGCATCCTGGCGACCTCCAGAGGTTATTTTTGCTTGTCTTCCTGTCTCTCGGCCTCACTCCACCATTCATCACTTATAGCAAGAGGGGTTTAGGTTAGATATAACAAAGAACTTCCATAGAGCAAAGGTCCACAGGCTTCTAGATGAGAGATTAAAGCAGCAATAATTGTTTTGCCCTTTGGGGAAAGCTTTAGGGTTAGGGGAAGGCCAAGGGGTGATTTGGGAATCCTTCATAGAGGCAGGGGAATGGAGGGGATGAACTCTGAAAACCTCTAACAACCTGTGAGACTTTGCAGGGACCTAGCAATCAGACTCAGAGGTGAGAAGCAGCTCCCTTTCCCTATCTGCTCCAGACCTGTGGCCTCATGGTGTTGCTCTGTCTGCCACTTGGGTTAGGATCCCAGTTAAATGCCTTTGACAGGTTTGACACGGCATCTTTTTCCTTACCTTGGGCCTTCAGATACTTCTTCCTCTAGAATTCTTGTCTGATTGACCAGAGAAGAGAACATTTTGCCACCTTCATTGCCAAAGGGGGAGAGGAAAAGAAGTGTCTACGCGGAAGTCCCTAGAAAATGAGAACTTGCCGAGGGAAGGCCGAACCCCCTGTGTGTGCCGTGCTCAGCCCTCAGCCCACAGCCCACTGGTACCTATTAGCTCATGTAGACCACCACCGAGGCCCTCTCTTTCCTTCCTATGGCGCATCGCCTGCAGAGTGATCCTGCCTGAGGCCCATGCAAGGGGGAGAGTCTGCAGACCTCCCCAAGGGACAGCACCAAGACCCTGGGGAAAGCTTCTTCAACAGGACTTGGAAGGTCTGGGTGTGTCGAGTTCACCCCAGCCCCTGGCCTAGGAGGGCAGGGGTGACTGGCAGTGGCTGTACCCCTCACATGGAACCCCACTGCCATGAATCCAGGCACCTTTGCTCCATTCCCAAAGAAAGACTGAGGTGATGTCAATTCAGATGGCTCCAGGCCAGTCTTTTTTTTAAGATTTTATTTATTTGACAGAGAGCCAGACAGCGAGAGAGGGAACACAAGCAGGGGGAGTGGGAGAGGGGGAAGCAGGCTTCCCTCTGAGCAGGGAGCCTGATGCGGGGCTCGATCCCAGGACCCTGGGGTCATGACCTGAGCCGAAGGCAGACGCTTAACGACTGAGCCACCCAGGTGCCCCTCCAGGCCAGTCTTTTGCTGCGTCCCCCCCCCCGCCCCCCGGGGGCTGCCTGGTGAGACACAGCCCTCAGACCTTCTGTCTAGGAGCAGCGACAGCGTGTCAGCCCAAGCTCCAGGCTGGGGGCAGGGACTCTGGGGTCTGCAACTCTGCTTTCAGTAGACTCTGTCCCAGGCCTGAGCTGAACTCCTGATGGCACAGAGGCCTCAGGGTCTGAGCTTCTTAGATGCCGACATTTTAACTTGGCTCTGGACTACAGCCTGCCTCTTGTTTCTCGTGGATCGGGTTATATTTCATAGGAAAGCATCAGGGAACTCTGTGGCATCTCCCAGTTCCTTCAGTGCTCCAACCCCCCACCGTGTCTCCTCCCTGGTCCTGCACCAGTGCTCCCCACCAGCCCTCCGCGTGCCTCAGGGCACAAGATCGTGTTCCCCTGTTTCTCCCATGAAGCTGGCCCCGCAGGGCTCTGGGGCCCTGGCCCCACTCACTCCAGCCACCTGGAGACCTGGTATCAGGCACCACAGCCGCCAGGGTCATCTGTCTGCAAGGAGAGGACGGGGAGAAGCTGGCGGCAGGCTGGAGAGTGTGCCAGAGGTCCCCTGGGAGAACGGCCCCCTTACAAGGCTGGTGTCAAGGTAAGGGCAAGTAGCAGGGCCGGGGGCTTGTGCGGACCAAGAAGCTTCCCTCCCTGCAGCCTCCTGCTTCATTCTGCATGGAATGCCAACTCTTTTATTGTTTTCCGCCAAGAAGAAAGATTCTAGATTGTCCTGACAAGAAGTTTCAGGAGGGCCAACTGCCTTTCGGGGGAAGTGTCATTCCTGGAGCAGGCAGTCCTGGGGAGGGACAGCAAGGCCTGTTTCCCTCGGTGGTCTGCGGGGCAAGAGTCCTCCACTGGGGCTTAGGTCAGCTCATGAAACAGAGCTTCAGATTTTTTTTTTTTTTTTTTAAATAGGCTCTATGCCCAATGTGGGGCTTGAACTCATGACCCCAAGGTCAAGAGTCACATGCTCTACCGACTAAGCCAACCAGGC